ATAAAAGGGATACAGGAAAGCTTTGAAGCTTCTCAACCTCTCTACCTCTATGACCACAGGCTGACCTGACATAGAAGTAGATATCTGCAATATCCCCAAACTTTAGCCCAATTGAAGTCATGGTCTATTATCCTGCATCAAAATTCATTTGGATACATATATTTTATACACAGGCTTTTTCCTTTCCTAAGGACCACATCATTCATTTGGAGAGGCATTTGTCACTAATGCAGTAATTACTTATAACTGGAGAGATTAATTACCCTCTCCATTTTAAGTAAAAAAAATTTTTACATATGCAGAAAATTGCACTAATTGAGGAGCTACTATATTGGAGGCATGAGGGAAGATGCACCCAGTACTGCAGGAGGTGGCTAGGGATGCAGTGCCTTCAAGGGGAGGCAAGAGCATAAGATGAGATCAAAGAGGAAACAAAGTTTGTAGAAAGGAGTTTCCAAAGAAAATTCTAGCTCTCTTCCAACCAAGCTATTTCAGCTACATGGGGCAGTAAGGTGGCATAAAATTATGGAGCGAATTCTGGGCCTGGAGTTAGGACAACCTAAGTTCAAATATGGCCTTAGACATGTACTAGTTGTATAACCCTGGTCAAGTCACTTGGTTTCTATCTACCTCAGCTTTTTCATCTGTAAAATGAGAATAATAAGAGCATCTATCTCCCAGAGCAGCCATAGAATCAAATGAGATGATATTTGTAAAGCATATTTGTAAACCATAAAGTATTACATAAATATTAGAATAATTATTATTGTATACTGGTGTGACATGGTGCAATTTTCCCTTGTATCATCAGTCAAAGAATATCAGGATTTATCTACTGATGGTCAAAATATTTACATTATTTTGGGATCAGGCAATAAATGAGGACTCACTGACTCATGGACTTTGAAAGTTGAATGGAACTCTATAGAAACTGATGTTCAGAAAAATTAAGGAATCTGCTCAGAATCACAGAGGATGGTAATACCAGAGCTCAGCCTGGAACTCAGGTTTCCCCAGCTCAATTCCAGAAGGTCTATATAAAAAGCCAAGTAAATTAACCATTATATTAAGACAATTACGGCTTATGCAAATTAAATAAAATGATTTTAAAAAGGAAAAAGCATTTATTTTAATCATATAAATAATAACTAATGTTAAGCAGATAAAAATTCTCTTCTTATATTTCTTGAATTCCTCCGGGTTGTATTCCCTTCAACATATCTACTCTTGGGCTTATTTATGATCACCTAGATAGTTCAAAATATGCCTGCAGATGAGGTCACTTTAATACACTGAAAAGATTACTGCAGATTTCACAAAACAAAAGCTTCTAAATAACATAAATGTTCATTTACTGAAAATAGATAGTAAGTTTTGGCTTGAAAATAAACAGAAATATTGTTTACAATTTGAAAAAAAAACAAAACTGTGTCTTTGTTCCAAAAAACAATTTAAAGATTTAGAGGTTGTAGGGAAAGTCTGTCTTATTTACATTCTTATGTAGTATGAAATTTGTCACTAAGAACAAACGAGCTACAGAGCAAAAGAATAAAATATGGAAGTCCTAGAAGTAGACTTTTTGTTCCTTTGCATCATCAAACAAGTTTCAAAACATTCATTCACGCTGATTGAACCATTTTGAATGTAATTAACCTGTGAAATGATGGCTTTGGACTCAGAGAATTTTATTTAATGAAAAAAAGAAAAAAGCAAGAATCCAATAAAAATGTGAAGTGGCAACCATTCCTGTCAGATGTGGGTATTTAGCCACCCACTCTTCTTTTCCACACTACTTTGAAAATGCTATATACAAAGAAGGCTCATGCTGCCAGGCATGCAATTTGTGTACTTTTAGAGGCACATAGAAAAAAAAAAAGCTAAATATATTAAATTTCAATGGATTTGGAAGCCACAGAATAGGTGAATGTAACTTTTATGACAAATAACCCTATGTTATTACATACTCTATTAATGAGTTAGATTGAATGAAACTACAATTTGAATATGCATGAGTATCAAAGAGCAGCTTTTTTGTACTGATTTTTTTCCTAAAAGGGAGTAAGTAAAATTCTTTGGAAAACACTTCTGATCTGATCACAGACTATCCAAACAAATATATTTGAACCTAAAAGTCAAAATATATTCTGATGAAATTATACTGCTGTTAAAAGAATTCACCTCCCTCTAAATTTCTATTATAAGTTGTCGTAGTCATCCAAAAATAAATATTCCTCACATTTCAAGCAGCTGCTTCATTATAATTTCTAAACAAAAATAATTATTTTTGTTGGTTCACAAAAAGTAAGTAAGGTTAAATAAACCTTTTGAGTACAAAGATTTCACTTCTATAGTAAGCAGCACTAGTTAAAAGACTGGGGAATGGGTAAATTATTGCACCAAATGGCTGAGAATTAATCTCTGCTGACTAGCTGCAATCTAACGAGGCATCTGTGTCCCAGGGAACCCACAGTATGTCCCTGGCGGTATGTGTAGTGTGTAGAGACTGCATGGCATTCTTTGTCCTCTTCTGCAAGCAGCTTTTCGTCTCATTGTTTAGAATATCCTCATGCATCTGTGACGCGTGGAATGCATTCATACTAACAGACTTACTATTGTTTTCTCTCAGAAGCTTTGTTGAGCAAAGACTGCATCACGGTTCTTGATAATTATATTGCTTAATTAATCAAGACAAAAAAAATTTGCAAATCATTGCCCCGTTGCCAAGCAGGGAGATAAAAAATGAAAACAATACAAGCTGAAGCAATATAACAAAAGTAACAGCTATCTGATCAGAAATTCTTATATAATGAAGCTATTAATGCTAAATCGGTTAATGTTAACATTGCTCCAGGTGTCTCTACTTAGATGCAAACAAAAAGGCTAACATTATGTATATAAAAGGCCAAATGTTGCCATGGATTCTGTAACCTGATAGAGAGGACAGCCTTTTCATTTGATTAGGGAATGCAATTTAAATACCAGGGACTGAAGCCAAACAACAGACATTTCCCTTTGCAAGCCTCTTTCATTCACCCTGGGGTCAGTAGTTGGTGAACAAAAGGTCAGCCACACTTGCCCTGGAAATGTCTGGATTAATTTTATTACATTGTAATGGTTTGTATTTTAAATGTAGGGATAACACTAAATTTCCAGTTACCTATTATCCTATTTTGCCCTTTGGGCTTTTGAAATAAAGTATTAAGAAATCGGTTCTCTCAACTCATTTTGACACAATTTGTAACCAATTTTACAAAACTGAAATTAATATTCATAATAGAATACATTTGATCATAGTATAAATCTCTGCTTTTTTTACCTTTGAACATGAAAAGTAGAGTACCCTAGAGTTTATACATAAAGAAATAAGAAAATTATGGAAGAGAAAATGATACTTTTAAAGTCTTCTTAACATATGCATGAAGTTTACTAAAGTAATTATTGCAGGTGGATAGTTTCTAATTCTGAAAAATGCCTTATGCTATTTGCTAATGATTTAATACTTAACTATTTTGAGAGTTAAAATCTTCTAATACATCTTTAGGATGAAAATGCTAATTTTATAAAGGATTAAGTATTGCTGATATTACAATCTTCATTTACAAAAGATACAACTTCATACATTTTGGTATCTAAACAGCTAAATCAAAGATAATACATATTTATTGTGAAGAAACTCCTGACTTCTTGTTTGGTGAAAAATCTTTTTATGAAATATAGTTAAGAACTCTTTATAATACTGATTTTGAGAAACAGTACAAATATCACTTTTCTAAATCACATTGTATCTGGAGTTTCCACATGTGGTAGTTAAGATGTTTCACGGGATAGCATCATACCCTTGAGAAATTTTACAGGTGATTTTTTTTTTTTGCTTCTTTTAACCTCAAGGTAAAATGCATTTTTCATAACTTTATTTAAAAGCTAGTCTGTAAGCCCTAATTTAAAAAGTAAAACACTTTTGATTAATTAGCTAAACTTTTTAAAAAAGAGGTTTTAAGGACAGTAACTTAATTTAGTTTGGAAATAGTGAATTATGCACCCCTTTTGAATAAAAATAAAGAACAAAATTGAAATTTGCTTAAATTTGGAGTCATCCTACTTATGAGTTCCCTTGACTATTCTATTCTATTCAATTTAACAAACATTTATTGACTGTCCACTATTTACCAGGCACTGGGCTGAGTGCTGGGGAGACAGATAAAACAAAAATAGTGCCTGCACTCAGGGAGCTTAGAACATTTTAACTATGAAACTGTTACACAAATCTGAAAATAGACTATTTTTACCCCCATGGATGATGATCTTAATTTTACTAAATAAAAGATTGTTACAAATAATATTAATGGTATTACTTAGGTAGCCAAATTAGTCCATGGAACTTCTCACAGGATAGGTCTTGTAATTTTTAGGAAAAATGTTAATTGGTTAAGCTGATTTTGTGGCAAATGTTAAGAAATCATTAGATTATCTATGTTACAATGTATACAGACAACCCCTTAATATATTCAAGTTAGTGATGCCATCCACTATGTTGGAATTTTACAGGGGTTTCAAAATTATATTATATTGGATACTATAATTACAGCAATATATTGTGTAATATAAATGAAATCTTAATAAATTTCACTCTTTTCTTCATATTTCTTTATCAATTCAGTGTACAAAATCAAACTTTTAATTCTTTTTAATATTCAGTTCTTTATGACAAATTTCTATTGGAACTGGATTCTTAAAAGACACTTCAAATAAACAGCAAACAGTGAAGTTGGATACTTGGAATCAAAGATTATACTGTATTACAGACTGTGAATATCTTTGCTCATATATAACTCAAATTAAATACGAAAAAAGTTTTAACTTAGCTGTATGTAGGCTATTTACCAACAAAAATATAAATTACTTTAATGCATTTATAACATCATTTCTCCATAATAGTTAATAATAGTTAACCATATGCCAAACAGTACATAAGACATGGCAATAATATGATGAAATTGTACCTCTGGTTTCTTCGTTATCTCGATGAAGAACATATGATTCTTCATTGGATAAATAATAATTAAAACATCTCCAAAATCTGTTGGTATAATACCCCTGCGGTAGTTCCTGGTGTGTTCAGACCAGACGATGTGAACCTCGTCATTTCCCAAGTGACGAAGCTGCAACAGCAAATTGGCTCTTTATTAATCAGAGTGATAACAACAGTTTATGAGGGGTCATGGTTTACAAATTGAATTACAATGCTCAGCAGCAGAAATATTTCATTACTTAAAAAGGTTAAAACACTGATTTCTTCTACGTGCAATAAAATGGTGCAGGTGGCATGATTACTTAAAAATAATATGGGCCTCATTTGAAACACATATTGGTACTTATATAACGTGTATAATCAGCACATGCAAAGAAATTATTGCTATATCAGTACAGTTTTAATAGGAAAGATTTTTCAACTAAATTTTAATGTCACCAAAAGCATCATTCTCAAAATTCTATGAACTAAAAATTTAAAGTTATTATTTTTTTTGTATCATAGCATTGCTTTAGAAGAATCCTGATTCAATATCTAGTTATATAGAAGAATACTGTATGAATAGAAAAAACATCGTACAATTACAATTATAGTATAGCTTGTTGTACAGTTTATTATGCTTACTTGCTGTCAAAAACTTTAAGAAAAAAATTTTTAATTACTTCTGTTTAGAAAAAAAAAGAAATGTAAACTTACACAAAAATTATATTTTATAGTCCAGGTTCAAAGAGCATAGTCTAATCATCATGCTATTGTACTCACAAAGACAATGCAGAATGAATTTCTATGATTTGAAGATATTAGGAAAAATGAAATCCTCATAAGTAATCATATCTAGGTAAATATGAAATGGGTAAAGAGTGAAGAAACTTGATTACAAAAATCAAAATGATCTCCTAAAAACTGTAACTACAAAGACACTTCTAGCTAGTGGATTTTTCAATTATTCTTGTTAATTCCTATTAGGAAGATAAAATTTCAATCTTTTTAAATAATAATATGATGATGTGGGCATCTTGAAAAAAAATTGCCTAAACTTGATTTACAAATACAACAGAATGAAAAATGAAAGGATACCAATACTTCAACCTGTGAGATATACATCATGTGTTAAAGGTAAAAGTAAAGCTAGACTAACATGAAAAGCATTTTGTAAAGAAAAAAAGGTAAAGATTATCCTTTGGGGTAATATGTATGTAAAACTTATCGTGATGTATGTAAGATACTCTAAATGTAGAAAGATTAGAGGATGATATAGGGGATGGATGCTCTTCATAGGCAGCTCAACTACTGAGGGAAAAACACAGGTGAACACACTATGTTCTGTTTTTCATTATAAGGTTACAAAGAAGTCAGTTATGTTGAAATGCCTCCTAATCTTTTCTATTTCATTCTTCTGGAAACAGCTCTATGATTCAATTATTTAAAAAGAGATTTGCACCTCCATTCTGTAGTGTGTGCACATGTGTGGGTACAAATCAACTGTTTGTATGCAGGTTCATGGGCTGTCATTTCTACTGAGCACTATGCTATAACAAGGAAGTACAAGTTAATGGTGTTCAAAATTTTCATTGAAAATTGCCCAATAATTTTTTTTCCTGCTTATAGATCAAGCTAAGTTAGAGCCATATGAGATGAGAAAACATGAAAGAGTCACACTAGCATTTGTGAGGAAAGTATCCATAATGATGAGGTCACAGATCTCACTAAAGTACAGAAGCACACAAAAGCCTAGTGAGAAAGATGGTACAACTGCTTTTAAAAGGATTACTTAATGTAACTGAGCCAAAATTATATGTACCTCTATTTCCACCTTAACAAATATCACAACTTTAAAAAATTTAGATATAGTGGCCCCATACCCCACCAGTGTAATATACTACTTTGGGAGTGAAAACATGGTAGTCATTTTGTGCCAACAACACAAGGAACAGTGTTTTCAAAGGAGAAGTGAATAACATCTAATTGAAACTTCAGGGGAAATTTAGAAAAGCAGAATGTAATTACTGAACCTGGAAAACAGCCAGGATTCAATACCTAACACCCCTAATCTTGAAAATAGAACCAGCATCTTTAGTAACATATTGTCCTTGATATAATGCTTGGGCAAATAATTTATAGGTGAAGAATCTCCCTTATTAAATCAAAACCCACACTTGGTTTTACTTTAAATGATTTTAGAGGTTATCCAATCAGCCATAAGATTCCACTTTAGCATAAAATTTAATAAAACTCAACCCTAAGGCAATGTATCAAAATGCATGAAATTTATTTCTGATTGATAGTTAAGGATTTTAGAGCATGTGAATTCAAAACAATTAATCTCTGCAATATTCCACCTTTCCAAAAACCCCCATTCAACAGTAAACCAAATACTTAAAACAATGGTTTGCCACTGCAAAACTGCAGCAAAACAGTTGTAGGAATACATTAAATTATAGCATTCACCCTATAATAATTCACTATTATGCAACATTTACTTTCATTGCTTATAATATAATATTAATCATCATGAGGTTATTTTCTTTTCAACGCTGTATGCCTTAAGCATCTGGGTACCACATGTGTAATTAACTAAATCACAAAATTAACAGTTAAGGCATCAAGCTCAGTTAAATAAAATATTTGGGACAAAGGTGTATTTGAATACACCAACAAATACGCAACATGAACATAGTAAATGTTAAAAACACAAGTAAAATGAGTTTTTAGTCACATCACAAAACTTGCCAGAGGATGCCTAAAGGGGAAAAATTTTAAGTACTTTTCCAGTATCTTTACAAAAGATATTCACTTTACATGTTGTATCTGATAAACATTTCCAATAGAAATTCACTGCAACATATTGTTCAACTACAGTTTCTTCACAATGCTTAAAAGTTAGCTCAATCTAAGAATGTGCATATAATTTATGGGGCAATTTATAGACTTTTTCATTTTATAATTAATCATGTCAACTATTTTCTCCAATGTAAGCCATACTTCAGAATGTACTTGTCAGTTATAGAACAAATACTCATTTTTCAAGCCTTACAAAAACAATTCATGTTCTGAGTCTTGTCCTGTATCACTACTCCTCATTAGCTTGAGTAAACAGTTTTAAAGTCACTATGCTTTAACTATTCTGCATGCTGCCTGCCAGGCAGCACGCCACTGGTGACACTGGTCATGGTACACACCTAATAGCCTGACCTCCTTTTCCGTCTAATTGCATTACATAGCCAGCTGGCTCCAGAAAGGAGTCGTCTGTTTGATTGAAGAATTCCTGCTCCTTGGTAGGCATTGCTGCTACTTTTACTAAGTAACAGTCAGGCCTGACATCCCCATTGTTCATCTGACAGTGTGCCCATCCTAAAATCTAAGTTTTATTTGTAAATTAACCAAGAAACTTCCTGCCAGAACAGCACTGCCTGGAGACTGATAATGTGTGCCTTTCATTCCCTTTCACTCTTACTGTATCACTGCCAATTTGTTTTTCTGCTGCTGGCCAGCCTGAGGCTATAAAAGCCTTGTAAGACATAAGTGCAATTATAGTCCTGGAGTCAAATGAATTGGACAAATCCAATAGCACAGCTCTGTCCCCACTTTGCAAAACCCCTACAGCAGTTAGATTAGCTGCTAAAAATCTAATCTAGCTATAGCTAACAAATTTCTGCAGTGAAAGATCAAGAGTTCAGTATGGGGTTGCAACCAGATTTCTGAATTGAAAAAGTTCTACTATGACAAGGGCAGAGCATAGCATAAATCACTTTAGAATTCTGCAGCTCATTTTTAAGCTGTTAGGTACAATTTAGTTAGAATAAGACAAGGGACTATTGGATGCTGTTACTGAGATTGATTTTCGTTCTAGCTGCAAGACATCCTGATGAAGAAAGTTTATCACTAATGATGCTAAATCCTGGAACTGCAAAAGGTACCAGCTGAATTGTGATGATTTCAGTAGGGAATCTTTCAAACAGAGCCAAATCTGAGAACATTATCTGTGGGACAGAGTTTTTAACCAGAAAAAAAAGCCTCATAAAATAAACAAAACCCTGCATTTCTTTTCATTAAAAGAAAGGAAATGTTTTAAATTTGTATTCCTTCTAAAGAAATTAAAAATGTCTCTCACACACAAGAACTTTTTTTTTTTAGCATAATTCTCAATTATACTGAAATGACAAAACAGAAATTCAATCCTGACAGCATAAACCCTTTACTATGTATTACTAAGAGTTAGGTAAGTGAGGACCTGGTTGACTTGTAATCTAAAACAGGTCATCAGAAACATCATTTAAGGTAAATGCTTTGAGAAAGGAGCCAAGTCCTTTCCTTTGCCTGCCACAGACTTTCAGTACTGGAAGGGATCTCAGTAACCACACCTCTACTACTTCTCTAACAACCACAGGCTTGAAGATCACCAATGAAGGCAAATCCTAAGGCAGATCATTCCACTAGTGTTTTGTGATCACTGTGAGAAAAAAGGTTTTTTTTATTGCACTGAAACTAAATTAGCTACTTTGCTACTTCCAACCACCTGTTTTTAACTCTTGGTGTTAAAAAGAAAAAGTCTCATCTCTCTACTACAAGACACCCTTTCAAATATTTAAGACAGCTTCAAATCTTCACCACCTTAAAATCCTTCAAGTAATCCTCTCCTACCATGAATCTGAGGCAGCTAGGTGATGCAGTAGATAGAACAGTGGGAGGAGTCTGAAAGACCTAAGTTCAAATCAAACCTCAGATACTTACTACCTGTGTGACCCTTGGCAAATCTCTTAACCTGTTTGCCTCAGTCTCCCCATCTGTAAAATGGGAATAAAAATAGCACCTAATCTCCCAAGGTTGTTGTGTAGATCAAATGAGAAGATCATTGTAAAACACTCAGCACACAGTTCCTGGCACATAGCCAGCCCTTATGAAAATGTTTATTATTATTATTATTATTATTGTTATTATTTCCCTTTACTATTTTGGTAGTTCTCATCTGGACAGTCTCCAAATCAGCAGTGTCCTTCTTAAAATGTGGTACCACTATAAAGAGGAATCATGGCATAGTATATATAGAGAAAATTGGATCGGCTGAGAGTCTAAAGACCCAGGTTTTAATTCTCACTCTGTCGATTACTGACAGATTGTCATTCACTCCATCTTTCACTTTTGCACCTATTAGAGATTATTCTATTTGCTAAACCATGCTTCAATATTTCAATGGATCCATGATTCATGTGTGCACTCATTATACTAGTGCAGATCTCAACCCACTTACACTTTCTGTATTCTTTGTAATTCACATGCTCTCTTCCCATAAATAAATTCATAGGCTTACTCTGGTGCGGAGCAGTATAGAAATCAGCCTATTCAGTGAATATGTGTAAAAGCACATTAAGTTTTTCATAACTCCAACAATCCTACATAAAATTTTGTTTTAATTATTCTGATTAAGTGATTAAGTGTGACTATGTTGGTTACCTCCCTTCTCTTTCCCCATATACATAACATAGCTCTTGAAGAGACTTTGAGTCACCTGTAATTCTATTTATTCAGAGGTCATGGTGTTCCATGTTTTACATTTGTGTAACAATACTGGAAAAATGTAAGTGTCAAGAAGTTGGCTTATTTGTGTCAGGGATCAACTTGGGCATCACAACGAGTGCTATGTAATTTCCTCAAATGCAATCCAATCTGATCTCTTTGTTCCACTTCTACTCTAAGACTCAGCTTATTGTTCATTTGTAATGTCTGTTCCAAATACGTGCACTGAAGACTTACTCATTGTATTCCTCTTCCAACTACATGCCATAATCTTGGCAATTCATATTCTTGATCCACTCAGTTTCTCCTTTGTAGATTGTTCAGGTATTTTTTTTCTATGTGGATCACACAGAGAAAGCTCTATTGTATTAAAAAACATGATGCAATCATCATAATTTCATCTATAACCAAGCTACCTCACATATATAGTGAATCCTTCTCCCATTTGGACTCTGTGCAAGGCAACTTACACAGCTGTGGTTATTATCCCTGGTGAGTACACACTTCCCTAAGGCCTTGCTTAATACTGATAATCAGAGGATTGTTGAACAAAAGTTATTAATGTGGTTACATTCATGAAATATTTTTATATGATGTTAAAACATGTGGAAGATGTTGTTGCAAGAAAACAGTTAAGGCAAGCATAAAAATGAAGAAATGTACGATGAGGAAAGGATGTGTGCCAGGCAAGCAGCAAGACTGAGCAATAATAGAGAGGCCAGGTGCTGCATTGTTAAAAGACCAAGAGAAAGGCCTCCAGTGCATTTGCTGGATTGTCTGTGGAGGATTTATGGGAGAATACCAACAAGAATCACACAAAATGTGACCCTCCTTGGAGAAAGTACACTTATTGACCAGATCACAACACAGAATGAGTGATTTTGCTCTAAGTTTAAATTTGACATAATATATTATGATTATAGTCCAATACACTGGCCAACACTATACTTGGCCAGGTTCCTTTTACACAGAGTTGTGAGCTCTAACCTTAAAAATACAGTGGATTTAATTGTGGTAAAAGAACAAAAAGGAGAAAAAAGGAGCTAGCCATTGCAATGGTCAATATTAATATTCTGAAGTCCAAGGAAGTAAAAATAATGACCAATCTGACAAATAAATAAAACAGGAATGAATCTGCATAGAAAACATTGAATGAAAGATGGATCATTCTCATCTTACCCAAATTAACTTAGTATTACTAAATCATATTTTAACAGTTTAAAGCATTGTTTTAGGAATCAAACTGGAATCCTGTAATCACCACTCACTACCTGTGTAACCACTCTGTGTTAACATCCAGAAAATAAAGAAAGTGGGATAGATTCATTACTCTCTTAAAATCTTTTCTGGTTTTAAAACTCTGGCTTCTATGATTCTTCTTCTTAATCCAAACACCAAAGTCACAGAGAGTTTTCATTTAAGGCAGACACCAAAGAACTTAGTCAGAAATGAGTAATTTCCCTAAGAAAGAATCCTCCAAAAGAGCCAAAATGAAGAAAAGTGCTAGAGATAATGACGTAGGGAGAAGATACAGCCAAAAAAAATAAGAGTGGGTCTGCATGTAGTTCACCAGACAGAACCACATGAGAAGGCTAGTGATACTGACAGTTCACCAACATTCCAAACACATGAATACCTACAGCTGAGATAAGAGGAGTATATACATAGAGTATGGTCACAGCACTGAATGATTCTTCTATTTGGGCATTTTCTCTGGTGACCAATTCACTCTACACAGGGCAATGAAAACATATATTTAATTAGTCTGTTTTTCATTCATGATAACTTTCTACTAATAAAAAGCAATATGTGTGTATATAGATAACTATGTATATTTTATAGATATACATAAAATCAAGGTTGTTTTTCATCTATTTTTTATTAGTAGAAGTTATAGTTATTGATAGCTATATACATACACATATCTGTTTTTTATTAGTGGAAGGCTGCCATAAATGAAAACCAGTCTAGATTTTACATATCTAAAGACACACACATATTCATCTTTATTATTACATATCTAAATACATACACATAATAAAAAATTAAATACATATCTATATACACACATAAATACACATACACACTGTGATAGAAAATGTTAAGAATAAGCATTAAGAGACAAATCTACTGTGAACCTTGCCTTTTTTGTACCTTTACCTCTTGATCTAAAGACCTGCTTCATAAGCGATTACCTATTTTTGTTAACATTTCATCACTTATTTGATCATCAGATCTTAGATTTGGAACTTTGAGGAATCTCAGAGGCCATCTAGTCCAAACTTCAATGTGGCAGAACAGAGGTTCAAACAAATTCAGTGACTTGCTTAATGTCACACAGGTAGTAAATAAAGAAGCCATATTTCAAAATCAGTTTGTCTGGTTCCAACAACCAGTGTTCCGACAAAAACATTTTAGTTTAATAAGTCTTAGAATAGAGGTGAATTAATAAATGAAAAGGTTCTTTTCTAACAGTACTTGGAAGAAAATTTTGAAAAAATATAAACACACAGATATCTATTACCTTTTTGGTGAGAGAATCATCTGAATCAAATGGCATTCTAGTGGAGACGTGGAAAATTACTTCCACAGTAGAGGTAGCGTAGTAAGGTGCAGTTTGTCCCGTGCTGCCATTTCGCTGTAGGCCACCCATAAATCCACAGTGTGTTGAAAGGTCAACCTTATGTGTGTAATAAAATGAAAAATAATGATAATCAAAAAACCAGGTCTTTTGATTTACTAAGCTAGATGACACTGAATATATTACAAATTTAAAGCATGCCCAGCTCTTTGTAAAGCTATGGTTTAGCCATTAACCGCTCAGTTAGTGCCCAGATCTTTTAGTGAGTGGACACTTTTTTTGTTCTAAGGAGCATGAATTCTCTGTAGTGTAAAACATTAAGATCCATTTAATTAATTATATTTTTTCATACTTTGAAAAAACATAAGTGAGTTTCTTTCACATTAAATATATTAAGGTTAAAGAAATGTGCTTTTTTATTTGGCAAAAAGAAAACATGGTCAAGAATAGTCAAGGATGGTTTTAAAGAACATATTGATACCTTTAAAATAAACATTTCTTAAGCTACTGTTAAGAGAAGTTAAGAGAGTAAAGAGCTAACTTTTTGAAGATTTAAAAATTCTTTGAGAAATGTCACCTTATGGCTAGTTTTAAAAAATCACCATCATACCCATTCTACGTATTCATACTTCTTGAATTGTTCTATACTAAGTTAAAAGAAAATTAAACTAAAATGAATGAAAAAGACATAAGTCTGGTTAGATTCAGGGTTCCTAACATTTGTGTGTCTCTGTGTGTGTGTTATGATACTCTCTGGTATCTGGTTAAAGCCTATGGACTCTTCTTCAGAATGTCGCTAAAATGCACAAAATATGTGAGAATACAAAGAAAACCAATTATAGTGAAATACAATAATCAAAACATTAAAAACAAAATCAAATAAGTATAAGGACCCTAGGTTAAGGAAACTTTGGTTTAGATTATGTCTAGATTATTTAGAAATCTCTGATTTTAGAAGAGCCTTGAACTCATAAGCACATATTCTTCCACAGGTGTGTCAGGAAGACCTAGGTTCAAAGTGATACATACAGGATGCATGACTTTAACAAATTACTTAGTCTCTGGCTCTAGGCCAGGAATTAGAAAACTGTTGAATTCTGCCTACAGCCTGCTTTTTGTATTGCCCTGAGCTAAGAATGCTTTTTACTTGTTTAAATAATTTTACTCTTATTTAAAATTTTAAAAAAATTAGTTCTGTACAAAAAGAGCTAGGCAAGAATTGGCCCTCAGGCTGTAGTTTGTAGATCCCTGTTCTAGGCAAATCTCTAAGACTATAAATTGCAGAGATGGTGCCAGCCTGTATTAGTAGAGGGACTTTCTTCACCTGGGAATTCTCTCCTGCAATAAATGTTTACTTAATTAATTGATTAGTTCATTTATCTATTTATGGCATTCTCTCATTTTTTTAAATTTTGAGTTCCAAATTCTCTCCCTCTCTTCTGCCTAGCCCCTACCCACCAAGGAGGCAAGCTATGTTACCAATTATACATGTGAAATCATGCAAAACATATTAAAACATATTTCCATATTAATCATATCACCAAAAAAGCATGAAAAATAAAGTGAAAAGTCATACTTCAATTTGCACTAAGAGTGCATCAATTTGCTCTCTGGAGGTAGAGAGCATTTTTTCATCATGAATCCTTTGGAATTGTCTTGGACCATATTATTGCTCAAGGCAGCTAGTCTTTCACAGTTGAACATTGTTAGAATATTGGTGTTACTGTGTACAATGATCTGTTTCTGCTCACTTCATTTTGCTATAGTTCATATAGGTCTTCCTATGCTTTTCGGAAACCAACCCCCTTGCCATTTCTTATAGCATAATAGTGTTCCATCACAATTACATGTTGCATCTTGTTCAGTCATTCCCTAATTGATAAGCATGTCCTCAATTTCCAATTCTTTGCCATGACAAAAAGAGCTGCTATAAATATTTCTGTACATATGGATCCTTTTCCTTTTCCTTTGATTTCTCTGGGGTACAGACTAGTAGTGGTATCACTGGGTCAAAGGTTATATATAGTTTTATAGTTCTTTGGGCATAGTTACAAATTGTTCTCCAGAATGGTTAGACAACTTCACAACTCCACCAACAGTGCATTAGTGTTTCTTTGACCCCTCATTTCCTCCAGAATTTGTCATGTCTGACAGCTGGGAGGCAGAACTTCAAATTTGTTTTAAATTGCCTTTCTCTAATCATTAGTGAATTGGAGCATTTTTTCATCACTATAGATAGCTTTGATTTGTTCTGAAACCCACCTGTTCATATCCCCTGATCATTTATCAATTGGAGAATGGCTCATTTTTTACAAATTTGATTCCATTCTCTCTATATATGAGATCTTTATCAGAGAAATTTGCTGTAAAATTTTTGATACTACTGCAATATGATTCCTTATAGTTTCCCAGATTATCTCTTTTAATAGGGTATATTTTTGCTTTTGCTTTATCTGAGATCATAACTGTTACCCCTGCCTTTTCTACTTCAGCTGAAGCATAACAGATTCTGCTCCAACTCCTTATTTTAACTCTGTTTGTCTTTCTGTCTCAAGTGTGTCTTTTTAGAACATATCTGTATTCTAGTTTTCATTCTGCTATCTGCTTCATTTTATGGTGACTTCATCCCATTCACATTAAGTTATGATTACTGTGTATTTCCCTCTATCCCCTTTTCCTTGTTTATTCTTCTCTCTCTCTTTTTATTCTGTCCTTTCTCAAAGGTCTGTTTTGCTTCTGACCACTGCCTCCCTTAATCCAGCCTTCCTTTTATCATACCCTACCCTTTTTCTTATCCCCTTCCCCTTCTAAGATAAATTTCTATGTCCAACTGAGTGAACACATATATGTAGTCTTCCCTCTTTGAACCAACTTCCAATGAGAATGAGGTTCAAGCTTTGCCCACCATTCCCCCCCTTGCCCATTTTCCTTTCCACTGTAAAAACTCCTCTTTGTGTGCTTTTCTGTGAGAAAATTTTCCTCATTCTATCTCTCCCTTCCCCCTTATCCCAGTGCATCCCTCTTTCTTACTCTATTTTTTTTTCATGTGTTTGAATGTTAAATTTTCTATTCAGCTCTGATCTTTTCATCAGGAATGCTTGAGAGTGCCCTATTTCATTAAATGTCCTCTTTTTTCCATGAAGGATTATACTTGGTTTTTCTGGATAGGTTATTCTTGATTCTAATCCTAGCTCCTGTGCCTTTCAGAATATCACATTCCAAGCTCTCTGCTCCTGTAATGTGGATGCTGCTAAATTATGTGATCCTGTGGGTCTATGATATTTGATATTTGAAGCCATCCCAAGTTTCAGCCTGTTTTGTGCTGTTGTTTTCAGAGCTAGTTCTGGGGGTGTGTATGTTTTCAGTACTTCAAAGATGGTATCATCTGGAGAGAGGTGTGGTCAGTGTTCTTCTGCCTATGCTCTGGTCTTTATCCAGGCAGTCCCCTTGTAGCTACAAGCATTAGAACTCCTGGTGGCCCTGGGACTGTGACCAGGTCCTTTGTTCTCCTGAAGCTGGAAGTGCTAGTTCTCTTCTGTCTTGGAATTGCGACCAGGGCCCTTACTCACTTGAGACCGACTACCAGCACTTCTCTCCCTGGAATTGTGACCTAGAACTGCATATAGGCAATAGAGTTGCCAATCAGCACCAGCTGCACTCTGTGCCAACAAATGGTCCCACGTAATTTCTTTTGACCAGCTGTCTGACTCTTTTACTGTCCTTTGGTTGAGAGCTCCCAAAGCTGTTACAGCTGCTGCTGTCAAAGTTGCCTCCAAGATGAGCTGCTGGTGATGCTACTGTATATGTTCTGGGCCAGTCCCCACCCTGATGTCACAGACCTCTTCTGAAAAACAACTAAATTGTTCTAGGGTGGAAAAATGTCTCACTCTAACTTTTTGATGGCTCTGTTGCTCTAAAATATGATTTGAGGTGTTATTTTAACATTCTTTGGAGGAGAATGTAGGGAGAGCTCCTTCACCATCTTGGCTCTGCTGACCCACCTGGGAGTTCTATACAACAATGAAATCACAAGTCTAGTCGCAAGCCCTACTTAAATAATATGATTTAATAACATATTTTTCTCCATAACTACTTAGAATTGATCTTAGAAAACAGGTTTGAATGGATACTCAATCCAACTAAAAGAACTCATTCTATTTTATACTTTTCCCATTATATCTTATTTATCCATCCTTCTAGTATTTGACCTCTTTTTTCATCTCTCTTCTCTATTAAAGTCATTGCATTTTTGTCAGGCAACACCAATTTGCCATTCTTATCTTATATATTCCCAGCTGAAGATCTCATTTTTCCTTCTGATTCAGGTTATATCAAAATAATATGGTGGTAGGAGAACTAGGTGTTTTGTATGTCTGAAACCTCCTCCATTTCCCTTTTTCTCCATTTGAATCTACAGCCAGCCTTTGAAACCCAACTCAGATGCTATAATCTTCATGAAGGCATTCTAGGTTTTTATTCTTCTGTCTCCTCAGGGTATCACATTACATTTTAATTTTTACTTTTCTTTCTTTTTTTTTTTTTGGTTAGGCAATGGGGTTAAATGACTTACCCAGGGTCACACAGCTAGTAAGTGTTATATGTCTGAGGCTGGATTTCAACTCTGGTCCTCCTGAATCCAAGGCCAGTGCTCTATTCACTGTGCCACCTAGCTGCCCCCAATTTTTACTTTTCTAATGCACACATAATGTCTTATTTTTGGTTATAGTCATCTATCTATATCACATCCCACACCATACTTCTAAAAAAGTATGGAAAGTATTAATTTCAGCTATTTTATTAACCAAAAGAACACTAATGAATGATTGTTTAATTGAATCATTACTAAAAACTGTAATAATATTACATATTAAATTACATAAAAAAGCTGACAATTATATGGCTTCAAATTTGCAAAGTATTTAACATACATATTTTATTCTCACAGCAATCCTTTTCAGAAGGTACAACAAGAGTTATTATCCCCTATTTGCAGATGAAGCAACTAAGGCTGAGACAAATTAAATGACTTGTTCAATGTCATAGAGCTACTGTTAGAGGTGGGATATGAACTCAGGCCCAATTGAAATCAAATCCAATTCTCTTTCTACTACATTTGTATTTAAATTTGCTAGAAAGTGGCTAATTAGTGTTGAAACTCAAGTTAACACTTTCATTACAAAAGACTCAAGAATTCTTGATATCTTCGCTATTTCTATCATAGACTTCATAAGCCAGCATAATTTTACACACAAATACACAAAAACCCTCTAATTTCCATTCAGTTGCATTTAACTAATATCTATTAAATGAATTACCTCCCAACCAAGCCCAGCAACAAAGTCTTCATAAGCCTGGCTTCCCCTTGCATTTGACAGTATTGAGCACTTGTCTTCTTGTCCTTCAGCAATGTAAAACACTGCAATCTTGTGAGTTTCACGGCTGTAAGTTAGAAGCAAACTGAAATGAAGTATATTTATAATGCATAGGAAGTTGGGGACACTCACTTAAAAATGAGTTGGTATATAATTTCTTATATCATACAGTTTAGGATTTCTTCATTTTAATTTAGGAACATTTCAGTTGGCTTTTGAAATAGACAAATTATCTATTCAAATTTTACATTCCTAGCCTTTGAGATTTAAGATATAATATTATAAAATTCTCTAATTCTAAATCACCAAATTAATAATAAAAATAATAATGAATCTTAAGGAATGTCTTCTTCCAGTAAGAACAGATTCTGAATTTGTCTTGGTCAGTAGAAAGTAACTGCCCATCCCCAAATAATAGGACCTCTTCCCTTTCTAAATATGTGTCACTGAATACATGCTGTGGGGTTAGAAAAATAGTATTTGGCTGAGAAAAGAATTGAATGGTTCCATTCATGAAAGGCTTAGTTCATACTGGTACTATATGAGCTTAAGTAGGACATGGACCAATTTACTGTATTTGACTGTATTAAATAACTAATTTCTGTATAAGCAATTAGATTAATGGTTCAAAAAAATCTTAAGTTTACATTACATAAACATGGTATTTTGTTAATAATGAACATCTTTCTCCCCCCTAAAGCCCTAAATAGGAATGATTCAATTCATTGCCCTTCCTCTATTGAGAAGTCATTCTCTTAGGTTTCTTTTTTTAAATTAGGATTACTAATCTGATTATCATTGTATTTCCTTCATTATTTTTGTGGTGTCCAATGGGAAATAAATCTTTTAAGTTCCATAAAATAAAGTTTTATTTCTCCCAATTAGTATATTATGCTTCAAGTTCCCAAATGACTGAACTTGTTTTCTATCGGCTACCTTTTGAAGTACTAAATTAGGTTAAAAAAAAAATCCAAAAACCCCACTTATGAACAACATAGGCCAAAAGAGTGTAAGTTCCTTAAACATTTCCACACATGCAAATTAATTATCATCTTATTAGTCATAATTTATTGAACGTCAACTAAATCTTAGAGGTTAGATGAGAGGACTTCATAAGTGGGGAAGAGGTTTCACTTGACTGGACTAATATCTCACAGAGAAGGCATGCTTTGGACTATAATTTCTAAGGAAGAGTCTTGAAGTGTTACGGGGATTCAGAAACATTTAGCAACAATTAAATTTCAGGAAATATATTGTCTTATATGGAGTACTGAAAAATGTTCTAATTGTAGATATATTGAAGCATGTAGGTGACAACTGTTGACACCATACACCATTACCTTTACTGGTCATTAGGACATGGTAAAGATATATAAAATCAAAGTACAATTACAAGACAAGCACCAGTGATCATTTATTTGTTTGAGACTGGGTCCCCCTATCTCAGGTGACTTGGAAGTGGTCAGGCTATTTAAGGCTCTCCCAATCTAAGTACTAAGGCACTACTAATCAGCATGAGAGCTTTGACCTGCTTCATATCTGACCTGGGTTGGTTCACCCTTCTTTAGGTAACCTGGTAGCCCCTTGTTACCCGTGGCTCACACCATAATAATGACAAACTTAGTGTAGATGCTCAATCAGCATAGCCCACTGCAGCTCAGAACTCCAGAGCTCAAGAGATCCACCAGCCTTAGGATCTCTATTGACCAAGATTATATGCGTATACCACTATGCCTGGCAAACACTTATATTATAAAAATCACATTTAACAATTGGGAAATTTGGATTGACCCCCAATTCTTTTCTATAACTAAATCTATTTAATTAAAAATCCCTGGGAGTTCTCTGGAAGCAGTCAAAGGAAACTTAAATGCAATATTTATTTATGAAATTACAGACCCAATTGAAATGTATCTGTTCACTTCTTCAATTTCAGACTTTTTACTTTTGAAATATGAGGTTCTTAAAACCCCTATTTGCATGTCCTAGAAATAAAATAATTTCAATCATGAATAGCTGTATGTTACAGGTGTGAGAAACAACGACCTTTAGTGCTAAAAATTCAACAAATTTCACATCTTTCAAATTTGGAGACCCTAGAAAGTTGGCTAGCTTTTCAACCTGGAGCTGGCCTTGTTAGACTCTTCAATGCATGTAATGTGTTTGTAGTGCTAATTAGCAACACCAACAATATTTCACATCCACAGGATACAGGAGTAAGTGGGCAATACAGAAAGAAACGCAGACCCACCTTCTTGTTCCAAATGGGTCCAGACAAGGCCAAGTCAATTTATTTATGCTTTTTATTTTTTCCTTATGTTACAAACCAGAATTCAAAAACAGCTGACCTTCTCTTCATCTTAATATATACTTGTAAGATTATTACTATTTAAGCAATAAAACTGATTATTCATTAAATTTGCCCTGTGTCTAGCACAATTCTTTGTGCATAATATCTTACTTTACACATTTTCTGACCTTAATTAGCTAAATTCTTACATTACCATTAAAATATATAGCAAGGGCAAACAAAAAGCATATATTCTTTTAGATGATGGTTAAGTGATATTCTTTGTATTTTCTGTGAACAGGGAAAGATAATAATGTAACACCATGATAGGAGGAAATCAGTTTACATAGGAAGAATTACTTTGAAGGTTGTGGAACACTGAAAGATATTAGTGAAAGCAGTTTAATACGTGGTCCTACATGTGAACTGAGAGAAACTAAGCCCTTCTAGATGTACAATTATGGAACATACTTATTTTTTTACTTCAAAAAGAGCTAGTGAAAATAGCAATTATAATGATAGAAGTTGGTACCCTACTTAGTTATCAAGGAACATTAAATTCAAGGGGTAGAGGTTTAAATGAAGGTTAATTAGAGGGGCAGATGATTTGCCAATAAGATTTTCAAAGCCATGTTTTATAAGTGCAAGAACACTCCAGGGAACTAATTCAATTGTACCTCACATAGCTCATATCTATTAAGACTAAACAAATTGGCCATAGTTGTAAGATAACCTTTTATTTGTTTAACATGAAGTATATGGAATAAAGCAGAATGTATGTGAAAATTTAAGTTTGGAAGTTCATTCCATTTGCTCAATGATGGCAAATTCATGGGACACAAAGGAACATCATTCAAGTTTTGTTTCTTATACAGAATTCCAAAAGTAAACTCACTCTTTCTCTAACCCCAAAGCAGAAGGCAAAAAATACAGTTGAAAACAAGTATTATGATGATAGAAAAAAATAAGAAAATGGTATTAGGGTTAAGGTTAGGGTTTTAAGCCTTTTAAAACACTCTTACTCAAATCCATAATTGTATAAGTCATCAAAAATATTTCCCTTTGAATCAGGAATCAAGAAATTTTAAAATGGCAATGTAGGTATCTGTTAAGTTTTCTATTGTTAATTAATTTTCAAATACTCCACATAGTTTAACAAATGTATTTCTTAAGTACCAATCATAATAGAAACTAAGTTATTTAGGATAATAACTACACAGATGAGATAGATTTACCCTTCAAGATTTTTAAAGGAAAAGTCAAACGTAAATTATGTCTTTCATATGTATGTTCCAAATGCTTCAAGGAGGCAGTTCTGCTTCTAATCTGGAAAGCCTTAACTGTAGTTATGAAGTGCCCTAAATAAACAGGATAGTGTTTTTTAAAGAGAAGATAAAAAGAAGAACAAATAAAGTGAGTGAGAAGAAAAATCAACTCCCTATCTAAAGGTAAATGTTTAGAAATGCTAACTGGATGACTCTAATAAAGTTCTATAAAATGAGTGGAAGCAATATACAATATGCCCCACTCTTCCCATTTTCTTCAGTAACCTTTATAAAAGGATTTTGAATGTTTTTAATAGAATTTTAAATACTGATTCTCTTCTATACTTTTGTTCTAAAGGAAAAGAAAAAAAGCACATTAGTACCATAAATTTGAAGTACAAATAATAGTGATATAAACCAAGTCATTTTTGTTCCCTTAAAGGTAGCATTGAGCTTGGAAGACTCATCATGCCCATGTTTTAATGAGAACTCAAAATAAATGGACAAATGAAAACAAACCTATAAATTATACCTTACTGAGGAATTGTTCTTTTAAGAAATACACAGCTGTCATCATTTAAAAAAAGAAAGAAAAAAAATTGCACTAAACAATTTGTATGTAGAATAGTACATGCTCCGTAGATATTTGTTACCTAAATACCTAAAGTGTTTTAGGACAAAAACGAAGAGAGAGAGAGAGAGAGAGAGAGAGAGAGAGAGAGAGAGAGAGAGAGAGGAGAGAGAGAGAGAGTGAGTGTATGTGTGTGTGTGAGTGTATACATATACATATATATGCACACATACATATATATAAACCTTTCATACTTTTGTAATATTTCTAAGAGTAAAAACTGTAATTTCCCCAGATGTTAAAATTGAAATATGTCATGACATGTCAGGATAAAACTGTTTTACTAGTTCCTCTTTCTTTATGCTTTAAAAGCTATTTTACTTTGTCTTCTATCAAAAGTTCCAAGTTGTTGTTGCTGAATTTAGGATTGTAGGATTTAGAGCTAAAGAGGCCATTGAAAATAATCTTTATTTTGTCATTTCACCTAAAAGCACATTAGTTCAATAAATAGCATTATATATATACATATTATATATAATTTTAAAAGTTAAGTATTAAAAATTCACTATTAAAATAGGGTTGAGATAAGACATGATTCTACTCAATTTTCCCAAAGATTAACACTTGGGGATTTTGTTATACATAATGGACATAAGGGTTCTAGGTAACGTAGATTCAAAAAAATCTTTTAGCGGCATCGCTGAACTATATACCACACATACTGAAGTTAATATAGGCTGGGGAAAAAGGCCTGTTGACCTAAAAATTCTACCATTTTGGCAAAGAGAGCTCATCTATATCAATTTATAACAGAATAATTTTGAACTCTGTGGCTGTTAAAATAAACACAGCGTAAAATTTGGTATCATTGAATAAATTACATTTCAACAAATATGACTATAAAGCAAATACATTTCAGAGATGTCAGATGTATAAGTAAAGATGGGTATGCACATCTATAGATCTAAATAATATGAACATTTTTTTCTGAGGATGTATTCTTTTCTGCAGGTTTACCTGCTGTACTTATCCCTTCATTATATCAAACTTGTCATCCAAAAGTTGAATGGCCAGAAAATGAAGTGGCCTAGCTACATAGTGAGACATAACTAAAGGACAGTCTGTGTTGTACAGTGGTACCCACAACATCAAAAGAATTAGAGGAAGTTCCTAATACACTGGTTGGAGCTATATAGAGGATTTGTGGATGGATATGGACAAGAGTTATATAGGAAAGAAGCGACAGATGACTTGCAATTTGTTACTTTGGAGAAAATTATGAACACTAATGAGATCACAGTTTCATCAAAGTACTGAAGTAACAGCTGTACATGTTCTCAGAAGATATAACAAGAAAGAAAGTAACTTTTAAATAGAATTACATACCACTGACGTGAGTCCAAATTTTTTAACTCTCTCAACAATTTAGAATTTTTCTTCAGCAGATGAAAATTTTTTCTATAATAACAAAAATTAAAAATTTTGGGAAGATAAATCATGTGAAACAAAAACAATGTACTATGTAATGAATACTCCTTTTATAAATTTCAATTTGAAAAAAATATCAAGGGAAATGAACTAAATATATTCAAATGTAAATTTTGCATATGTTTTAAGTTGTCTTACTGCAACCAATTACTACATACTATGGTATTATTAATACTATAATCAATTATTTATTTGGCACTATGCAGATATGAAAAGTACTTTGCATGTGTTATCTCATTTTTTCAACACAACCACCTTAAGAGGTAGGTGGTACAAGTTACAGTAGTATGCAGATTTTGCAGATGTTTTCCCACAGTAGAATGAAAGCTCCTTTAGAACAGAGTCTATTTATACTTTTCACTGTGCCCCTGGTGTCTGGTACAGTGCCTGGCATAATGTAAGCACTTAATAAATGCTCTTTAAATTGAAAAAAAAAAGATTCAGAGGCTAATTAATTTGCCCAAGGTTACACAATTAGAAAAAGTAGTAAAGGTTGAATTTATACCTAGGTCTTCTGACTCTAGTATTCCATCACCTGGCTTCTCAGCAAAATAAGTTGATATCAGTGGTGGCAAACATTAAATGAATGCATTTTGAACATATGTATTTGTCTGTGCACATGTAATGACAGAAACATGATATGCAGAAGATGAATTTGCTTCAGGTCAAAAAATGGCAACAGGGAGAATTAGGACTCATGACCAGACTATAGCAAAAGAAACAGAGCTAAGAGAAGACAGGAGAGAGTGGTACAAGGCATATTAAATATACAGATACAACATACTTCAAGACTTCAGGGATTCATCAGTATAAGAACTCCCTCCACTAACATCACAGGTAACTTCCCTACAACTTAACAGATAATCTTGGAGAACTCTTCTGCTAAAAAAAAATCATCACCTTGAATTTACACGACAGCTAATAAACTCTCTGAAGCTAGCTAGAATGGTACTTGCGTTATGCACACTGCCAATCAATAGACTAGAAACTTGACATTTGAACTTGAATCTTTGGTAGGCTGTTAGGATCTGACAGAGCTTGTAGTCTACTATCAGATATTATTTGAAAAATAAGGTAGCCTCCAGACTATGATGAGACACTGGAGTAGAACCTTAGTTAATTCAGAAATATGGTACAGAACAACTGGGTGAGGATAAAAGGTGAGAAAAACAAAAGTGATATTGATATAAGATTTTTTCTAATTTAAATTTCCAAATTGGTAGAAAGGTAATCACTAATTTTAATATCAGCTGGAGTCTAATCTGCTAAATAAAGACTACTTTTTATATCTTTATCTTTCCTTACTAACTGGGAAAAAGTCAGTATTATCTAGTGTTCAAAACAGCACAGATCAAGGGTTAAAAAATAACAATCTAAGGAGACTGCACAAGAGAAGTAGAAGTCAGTAGGTAAGAAATACAAAGAGAGAAGACATAAATGGGAAAGCAGAGCATGGAGACATCCAGGAAGGGTCACTGAGGTCAGAACACAGTTGGTCCTGTAGAACCGGGTAAATCAGTCATTTGAAACCATGTCAGCCGTCTGAGGTGAGATTATCCAGGTACTTCAAGAAAGTGTCAGGAAAGGATCAGAAACTGGTAGGCAAAATTAAGTCAAAACATACATGTTAGAACATATAGGTCCAGGGTCTAGGCAGTCAAGACAACTGGATCCAGAATATATATCAGACATCTGACTGGTAGGGATCAGGACCCAGGAAAGGGGAAGAAAGGTGGTAAAAAGGGTCTTAAGTCAATGTGGTATAAGAGAAAAAACAAAGAACAAGAAATCAAAAGACCTTCTCCTGACTCTATCACTAATTAGTTGTATGGGGGGCTGCAAGGTAGCACAGTAGATAGAGCACCAGCCCTGTGAGTTCAAATCTGGCATCAAACCCTTACTAACTATATGACCCTGGGCAAATCACTTAACCCCAAACGTCCCTAAAAACTCCAAGAACTAATTAATTGTATGATCTTTGAGCATGCCATGGCAGTTTCCTCCAAAATAATGAGAGAATTGGACTAGCCTATCATTCTAAAATTATGATTCTATGTTCACTGGTTCAGGTTAAGTGCTGGCAGAGAGCTTAGACATTATATGGTCCAAACCTGCCATTTTACATGAGAACCTTATGCCTAGAGATGTTAAGTGGCTTTCCAAGTAAATAGAACTGGGATTTGAACCAAAGTCCTTTAATTCCAAATCTAATTTTTTTTTTCCATTTCACCAAGGACTTGTGGATATAATCATTGTACTTCTCTTTAAATTTCTGGTGAATGGTAGGAGTGCTAAAAGCCTGAAGGACAGGTATGAACAAGTATAGATAATGTGAATTATCTGATTAAAAAAAAAGGTTCCTGTTTTAAAAAGAAAGATAGATGGCATAGATTAATTTTTTAACATAGTTTCAACATTAGCTACTTGGCATAATGGGTGGCATGCTAGATTTGGAGTCAGGAAGATTTATGTTTAAATCCCACCTCTACACAGTTATCTGTATAACCCTAGGCAAGTCACTTAATCTCTCTGAGCCTTGGGCTCCTTAGCTTCCAACTCGGGTTTAAAAAAAGGACCTACCTCCCAAAGTTTTCATAAGACTCAAATGAGATAATCCTTACAAAAATGTTTTGCTAACTATCAAGATATCACCATCATTATTATCAATAACTTGGTTGGTAAAATTCTGGAATGGGTGGTTCCTGAACACTATGAAAATGAATCAGTGAGGGTAGAAGTGGGATCACTAAGAAAAAAATCACATATAAGGAAGGTAATTTTCTTTTTTTACAAAGTTATTTCCACAGAGCAGAACTAGAACCAAAGGGCAGAAGTTACAGGGTGTCCAATTTTGTTTCTGGATAAAGAGGAAATTGTTAATAATTCAAGTGTTCAAAAAATTGCCTTTTGAGGTAGTAAACTGTAACTATGAGAAATGAACTACAGGACAAGATGGAAAAGCTTCCTACATAAGCACCTCTAAAGATCCTTTAATAAGAAATTGTATAATAATAATAATAATTCAGACATGATCATTTTTGGCTAGATAATGTTAATGAAGATGATGATGAGGATGACGATGATAGTCATATGCACATAGTACATTTTAATTTTCAAAGTGCTTTCTTTATAACAGCCTTGTGAAATTATTGTAAATATCAAATGAGTGAACTGAGGATCAAGGGAAATTAAGTGATTTGCCCATGACCACCTAGGTAGTAATAAATATTAGAGCTAAGATTCCTGTCTCAAACTCTATCATTCTTTCCATCACACCAGATATGATCTGCACAATTCTGTCTACAAGATGGCTAACAAGAGGCCATCTAGCCTCTCCTTAAATATTCAAAATGATTAGAAGCCCATTACTTTAAAGAAGAAAAAAAAGAAATGAGTTGTCTTTTGAAAAGAATATTAGAATGTTCTCCCTGATACTGAGGCGGACCTTGACTCTTTTTAATTTTTATCTATTGGTCTTAACTCTACCTAAATCTACCTGTATCTATCTAACATAAGTTCAAACTTTTCTACATGAAAGTCCTTTAAGTAAATGAAGACTTTCCTCTAAGTCTTCTTTTGTAAGGTAGAACATCCCCTTGTGTTTTTTTTGCATTATGTGGGAGATTTTACTAAATGACTTTTAAGGTCTTGTTCTAATTTCAAAATTCTATGATCTCTGAAAAGTAGATGGCATAAATACTAGTATGCCTACTTTAGATATGAGGAAGCCAGTGCTCAGAGATGTTAAGTGATTTGCTTAAGGTAAAGGCTGAAAGGCAGCTGACAAACTGTTGAATAAGGATTCAAACACTGTGATCATCTCAAATTCAATGCTCTTTCCATAAAATCTCACTAAGCCATATAGTAAGGAATGCTAACACTGAAAGTAATTTCTTGAGATCTAGATGAAATGTCAATGCAATACAAAAATCAACATTAATCAAAGTTAATCAAAGTTATGTAACTTCCAAAATAAAGAAAACTGCAGTCACATTGAACAAATAACTGATAGAAAGCTAGATGTTGCTTTCATATCACTGGCTGGAATTAAGCCCAAGAATTGGGATTGCACTCTTTGTTTTGCTAATATTTTAAATTTATAAAAACACTCATACCTTTCTTGTGGCTACTGAAATAAATTTAAAATGTGAAAAATAATTAAAGAAAAATCTCAAAATTAAAACTGTCATGTTAAAAAAAGCAATATATTAATAAGTTAAATAAAATAAAATGAAATACTAGGTTCATACCTTCTGTCCCAAGAATTCATTCCTAAGTCATTCAGCAGTAATCTACAGAAATAAAATGGACCTTGTGGCTCAGAGGGAACTGGCTGTTCTTCATTGGGAACTTTCATTACAACATCAGACCTACACCTATGTACATATTCCTCTTCTTGGGCATTCTGATACAAAATTGCTTCGATGATCTCTTTTTCTTGATAATGACTCATTCCAAATGGGGGTGGTGAAGGAGCATTCAGGTTAAGCTGGGATGGCAAAAGGCATTCAGGGCTTGCGTTGCCAATATTTTCAAGTAATTTGTCAAGCACATCATCTACTTCTTCAATTTGAGAAAAATCTTTCTCAGGTTCAAATGTCTGCTGTCTACTCTCTGAAATCACAAATGAATTATTCCTTTTGTCCTGTGAAAAGCAGCCTTCCAAAGGTCCATATAATATTTTGCTATCCCAAGAATACTTTCCAGAGATATCTCGCACAATAAGCCTGACATCAGAAAGGGCACCTGAAGGCCTCCCTTCTGTTCTTTCTGAAGGAATCTGAAGGTAAGACATAAGGGTATTGTCATTAAATACAAACAACTGTAGGTTTGGACTTCTGAAGACTTCAGAAGAGAGCTCAGGTGACTCAAAATATGCATTGTCATGATTTTCACTAACAAGGCTGTGAAGAATAGCAGGGCCCCCACTCAGTGGATAGTGACTTAAGTGGTTTACTAGATGTGTCATCACCATGCGGGCAGTCAGAGGGATTAATTCCAAACTCCTCCTCCGTTTTTCTATAAAAATAAATAAAGAATGATCAGAGATGGCAGAAACCCATCATTAAAATCAACACTAATATATTTCAAATTTTGTTTGTGGCTTTTTCTTTAAACTTTGGCAGACCTATTTTCAAATCTGTCATGGATTTTTAAAAAAGAACTGTCAAACCTGCGCTTCTGAGTATCCAGGCAGTCCCCAACCTTATAAAAAGGTTATTTGTATTTGAAATTTGAATCATATTTTCCTTTAGAAACATTATTACAAATGGTAGATATGTTTCTAGACAAACTGAGAAAAATTTTGTTCATTATCATTACTTATTTAGAGTCCACTATGTAAAAGACATTATTTTAAATATTAGTTACCCAAAGAGTTAAAAAAAAATCTCCTTTCTTCAGTGTATCTAAAATGAGTTATCTGGCCCACCATGTCTTGCAGTCAAATTCAACAAAAATTTATGAGGCAAAATCTTTGTCCAGGAGACTCTATTAGGTGCTAGGAATGGAAGATTAAAAAATGAAACAGTTCCTGCCATCAAGGACTCGACAACAGGGTAAAAGGGAAAGAGAAACAACACAAACAATTACGTTAGAAATTATAAGTTAGAATATATGAAGGGTTAAAGGAGGTCAGTGAGGAATGAGGAACTGAGGAGTAAAGTATCAAAGTATCAATTCTTGCGGAAAGAATCAGAAACATTTTCATTGAGAACATACCTGAGCTGTGGCTTTGAAGGAAGTGAAGGATTACAAGAAGTAGAAATGGCCATAAGAATGGCCAGTATAAAAAGCCCAGAGAAAGACAGCACAAAATAAGATCAGGGGGTGGCTAGTAGCAGAGTTAGGCTGAATCAAGGAGGGATTGGAAAGCAGAAAAAGAAAGCTGGAGTCCTTTCCAGGTTGGAGCAAGACCACAGAGGGACTTGAACATAGGCTAAAAGTTTTATCTTAATGTCGAGGCAATGGCAGTTACCCAAGTTGACTGAGTGAGTAGGATCCTAAGATATGCAACTGGAAGGGTCAAAAACTGTGCATAAGAAAAATTACTTTGGCAGTGGTGTGAGGGACAATTTGCAGTGAGAGAGAGAGCATGTAGGAGACTGACACTGTAGCCTGAATAAGTTACAGAAGCCTTCATTTAAGTGGTGGGAGTGGAAACTGGGAGCAGAAAAAGCAACAAAGCTTGACAACTGACTACAGGTAGACAGTGATGGAGAGAGGAGTAAAATATGACTGCAATGCTTTGAGAGTCTGGGTGACTGTGAGAATACCAACGACAACAACAACAACAACAACAGAGGAAACTGGGAAGAGGGGCAAGTTTAGGATGAAGTCATTTCAGATAAGATTGGAAAGTGTAACATTAACACTTTGCTTTGAGTAATGAAGTAGAGGCAGAAGAAAGACTGGTGAATTTATTATTGTTCTTCCCTGGCATACATCAGCTGAATTGACTGCCATTTAGTTATATGACAGAGAGAAATTTTATTTGTTTATTTATTTGTTTTGGTGAAGCAGTTGGGGTTAAGTGACTTGCCCAGGGTTACACAGCTAGTAAGTGTCAAGTGTCTGAGGCCGAATTTGAACTCAGGTCCTTCTGACTCTAGGGCCGATGCTCTATCCACTGTGCTACCTAGCTGCCCCTACAGAGAGAAATTATTAAGGAGAAAACTAGTTCCAGGTTGCTCCTAAAATGCTTTTAAAGATATTCGTCCCAAATTTCCATAGTATTTTCACTAAGAAAATGAAAAAAAAAAAAGAAATAAATTGTTTTGTTAAATTTCATTCCTAAAATAACAAAGCATATTTTCTTTTATTTTTAACATCCTTTTCTTTTTACATTTTGAGCACCAGATTATCCCCCAAATTCTCTCCTCAGTTCTACCCACTGAGAAGGCAAACAATATAACATAGATGTGAAATCACGCAAATTTCCATATTAGCGAAAGAAAGGAAAGAAGGAAGGAAGGAGGGGGGAAGAGAGGAAGTGAAGGAAGAAAGGAAGGAAGGAAGGAAGGAAGGGAGTGAGAAAATTATATTTCAATTTGTACTCAATTTACCAGTTCTCTCTCTGGAAGTGGATAGCATTTTTTTTTTCATCCAAGTCCTTTTCTAACTGTCTTGGATCACAGTATTGATCAGAGCAGTTAAGTCTTTTGCAATGATCATCATTACAATATTACTGTTACTGTGCCCAATGATCTTCTGGTTCTCACTTCATTTTGCATCAGGTAATATAGGCCTTGCCACGTTTTTCTGAAAACTATCCCCCTCATCATTGCTTATAGAACAACAGTATTCCATCACAATCCTATGTCACATCTTGTTCAGCCATTCCTCAATTGATGAAAATTGATTCCTCATCTTTTAATACTTTGCTATCACAAAAAGAACTACTATAAATATTTTTGTAAATATGGACCCTTTTCCCTTTATCTCTTTGGGGCACAGACTTAGTAGTGGTATTGCTGAGTCAAAGGTTATGCACAGTTTTACAGTCCTTTGGCACAATTACAAATTGTTCTCCAAAATGGCTGGAACAGTTCACAACTTTACCAAAAGTTGCGTTGGTATCCTTATTTACCTCATTCCTTCCAGCATTTGTCATTTCTGATTGATGTGAGGTGGCACCTCAGAGTTGTTTTAAATTGCATTTCTCTAATTATTAGTGATTTAGAGCATTTTTTCCTATGAATATAGATAGCTTTGATTTCTTCTGAAAACTTTATATTCTTTGATCATTTATCAATTGGAGAATGGCATTTATTTAAAGCCTATTTTTTTAATGTTTTTATTCAAAGTTTTGAGTTTTAAAGCCTATTTTCAAAGAGCTACTATTGATTCAAAATTTGAAAAAAAATTACATTATTTAAATAGGAGGACCTCATTCAAAATTTCAAGTATTGAGGGAGTAGTGAAATACTATAACCGTAGCAAGCCCTATTACTAAAGTCAATAAACATAATTCTTTTATAGATGACCATTTATTCCTATTCTCTTTTAAGTTCCTTTATAACTGTCCTCTGCTTGGCATTTAAAGCCCTCAACAACCTGAGCCCCTCTTACCCTTCTAGTCTTCACCTTACTCTCCCCCATACACTCTGTGATACAGTGGCACTGGCCTCTTTGCTATTCCTCAAACAAGACAATCTATCTCCAGAATCTGCTGTTCTTCCTCTTACCCCCTTACCCCCAGTATGGAAGACTCTCCTTCCACTTTTCTGCCTCCTAGCTTCATTCAAGTCTTAAAATCCCATCTTCTACAAGAAGCTTTCCTGATACTCCTCTGTTCATAATATTCAAATTATCCTGTATTTATCTTGCTTGTACAGTTGTTTAAAGGTTGTCTTCCTCAGAAGCAGGGACTATTTTTTGCCTTTCTTTGTATCCTCATTACACAGCACAATGCCTGGCAAATAGGGATGCTTAAGAAATATTTATTGATTGACTGCAAAGTCAGTGATAATTAATAATTTTAAAAAGTCATAATTAATTTTCCTTAAGTATGTCAAAATAACAGATCACAAATAAGTTCTTGCATTTAAAAAAATAGCTGGAAATAGCTGTGGTGAGAGGCCTGGAGGAGAGGGAGAATTGAGATTAACACACACCAAACATAAGAAACATTTTGTACTACATAAAATGACAAAACTATCTCGTACCTATTTTTATCTCTCTGCTTTTAACAGAATGTACCCACTCAGCAAGAAGTATCTGTGTACAACACCAGGTTTTAATGTTTCTAGCTTTTCTGTTCAGCTAGGATAACAGTGAAAAGGCTTTTTTTAAAAAAATTCTAATTATTTCTAGTATCAAAGAACTGTGTTAAGACAAGTATCTCCCGGTTTTCAGATGGCACTAAGCTCTGCCAGGTAACTTAATGCCAAGCTAAGGGACAAATTAAAGACAGATCTCATAAAGTTGTGTAAACGGGAAGAAAAAAATGATAAATTGCAATGCAAACAAGATGGGAAAAAATAAATTAAACAATATTTCTAAAAGGATTCTAAGCCAATAGATAAAACTTTGAAAAAAAAGATTTAGGTGTCATTATAGACTGTTACTTTAAGCACATGGATTGAATGCACCAACTTCAACAAAAAAGGTCAACAATACGTTGGACAAAATTTAGAATAGTGGTAGCAATAAACTATTTTACACTTGTGCAAAATAATAGTGTGTCTACTATTCTTGGAATTCTACTAGCAGTTACAGATAGCAATATAGGATAGGTCCAGAAAAGAGCACCTACAATGAACAAGAAAGTAGAGGGTCATCAATAAAATGGAAAAGTAAAAACAAAAACAGGATTCATTAGAATGATGTAAGTTATTAAACTCTAAAAATATTTATTCATGCCTACTACATAGTAAATGATGTTAGGTGTTATAAAAGACTCAGTTTTTATTTAAGTCATAATCTCTGCCTTCCTTGATTAGTCTGAGAAGGGTTAGTCGTCGCAAATTAACCAAAGAAGAGTCTATAAGTATTATATGTTACACATTGTTCTACATACTGGATATGGTTAAAATATGTACAATTATGAAAAAATATAGTGACCATCTGATTAAATCATGAGGTCTTTGCATTATAAGTCAGAAAGCCTGCTTCTAAATCCTGCGTACAACACTCACTAGATATGGACATTTGGTACAGTCACTGCTCTGAGGTTCACTTGGTTCATTTGCATACTGAAGATTCTTATAATTTTTGCCTCTCAAGAATGTTTGTGAGGAAAGGGTTTTAAAATGGGATATGACCAGTAAGAGAATACGATTTCACTATGCACATTACAAAGGTTAATTACAAAGGTTTGTTTTCGTCCTTTTTTTTTTTTGAATGGTGGGATGGGAAAGAGAAAAAAGTGGTTTTTTTGGGGGGGAGGAGTGAGGCAATCGGGGTTAAGTGACTTGCCCAAGGTCACACAGCTAGTTAAATGATAAGTGTCTGAGGCAGAATTTGAACCCTGGTCCTCCTGATTCCAAGGCCAGAGCTCTATTCACTACGCCATCTAGCTGCCCTGAAAAAAAGTGATTTTTGTTAGCTAAAAAAAGTTTTAAAAGAAAATTTTTTTTAAATTGTGGGGAGTTATTTGAAGTTTGCTAATTATTGTTAGTATTTGTACCAAATTTTGAAAGACTCAGAGAATTCCTAGAAATTGGAGGTAGTTTTTAAATCACTCAGAAGCATTTATTGAGTGATTATTATATGCCAGACATGTGGTAAGCACTGGGGATTAAAAAGAAAAGGCAAAAACCATTCCCCGCCCTTGAGAAGTTCACATTCTGATGTGTAAAACAACATGTACATTTCTATGTAAGTACAGGGGAAATTGGAGGTAATTTCAGAGTGAAGGCACTAGCATTAAGAAGGATCAATCAATAAAGGTTTCTTGTAGAAGATGGGATTTTAGCCGAGAATTGAAGTAAAACAGGGAAGCCAGGAGGCAGAGTGGGAGAAAATTCCAGGCATGGGAAATAAATGGTGAAAATGCATGGAGTCAGGAAATGTCTTATGCCAAGAAGAGAAAAGAAGCAATGCCGCTGGATCTTAAGAGAACTTAGCTTTCCCCAAATTCTAATGAAGCTAGGAGAAGAAAAATCACAAGATACTGTTTGGGTCAGATGCATTTATCTGCAGTGGTATTGGTAATGATGAGTTGCACTGAGTGAAATGAAGAAGAATGAATGAGGGGGAAAGAAAGTGAAAAATCAGAAGGAAGATCTGTTTCAGGACATACAGATCAAATACCATGGATTCCGCCACAGTGGGAAAGGGAATACTATACTGATCTTACTGAGAACATATGAGAGAACCCATAACTGGTAGAGTGAGAGATGAAGGCAGACTGATGGAATACAACTCCAAAAAAGAAATCAAAGGAAGAAGGAGTAGAGAGAAAAGCTAAACAAGTAGATGCAAAAGAGGTTAGATTCAAAACAACTAAATATAGAAAAAAAGACTCATTTGTAAGTCAGAGACATATTACAGAATAATGGAGTTATGTGTGAGGGAGCACCTTTTATTGACCTGGCTTTTGCCCACTAGGATTGCTTATCCTGCTTTTAAAAGATCAAATTTCAGGGTGGCCCCTAAAAAATACTGAGTAATTTTCTTCACTGGACTGTACAAATGTGATTATTTATAACACTATATTTAGTGACTGGGTAAATTTTAGCTCACATAAATTAAAGGGCGGATAAATATTTTGAGGAAAAAATTGAGTTAGTCTGGGTTTGAAGGGAGATTCTTGTTTCCTTCAGTGAGGTTCATAAACTTGAATTTCAAAGACCACATAATGATGGCAAATTTTGCTAAGGAGGAAAAAGGTGTTCAATACAAATCAAATCTCCACATTGAATTCATGGTTCTTGTATCCTTTTCCATTTCTCTACTCACATGAATATTATCATTGCATAGGACCTCATCATTTCTTGCTGAGACTACTGCAATAGCCTCCTAATTGGGGTCTCTGCCTCTAGTATCTTCTCTGTAATCTACACAGCTGCCAAATTAATAATAACAATAATAATAATGCCAAAGTAATATTTCTATGACACAGTTCTGACCATGTCCCTTCTCTGCTCAAGCAGTTTCCTGAGTGGCTCCCAAATACCTTCAAAATTAAATTCCCATTTGGCACTTAAAGTCCTTCATAATCTGGCTACACTTTTTCTAACCTAAGTACTCATTATTCCCCTTCACACACTCTATATTCAAAAAGGCCTCCTTATTGTTTGTCCACGTATATGATACCATCTCCCCCCTCTGCACCTTTGTCTAAGCTGTCACCACGCACAGAATGCTCACTTTGATCCACCATTACCTCTTAGAATCCTTTTCTCCATTCAAAGTTCAGCTAGTGTCATGTCCAAAACACTTTGCTTGATACTCCCAAATACTCCTACCACTCTCCTCCACAGAAATTATTTTGCATATATTATTTTCTTTTCTGGGTAAATGGTGTTTTCACCATGTAGAAAACAAGCTCCTTGAGGGTAGGGACTGTTTCAGTTGTTGTATTTGTATCCCCTAGGTTGGCATAGTGCCTGGTGCTTAATAAATGCTTCCTGAATCAAAGAGTTATTTTTATACCTCCAATTAAACACCTTTCATGCCCTATGAGGGGCAGCATGTTGTAGTGGGTAGAAAGCCAGGTTTGGAGCCAGAAGAAAATGAATTCAAGTCCTTCCTCTGACACATACTGGCTGTGTGACTCTAGGCAAATTAAATTCTCAGTGCTCCAGGCAGTTCTATAAGACTGTAAGTTGCAGAGAAGGTGCCATCCTATATTGGGAGAGAGAGTTTCTCAACAAGGAGCTCCTTAAAAAGTGAAATCACAGATCTAGTTCCTATCCCTTTCCTGCATAGTACATATGGATTGAAAAATACAGCCGTACATGGGAAAGAGTGAAAAAGCAAAGGGGAAGAAAGACAAAAGGCTACATGTGCAGAAGGTAGCTAGATTAAAGAAAAGCAAAATCAAGTACTCAAAACTCTCCTCTCTATTGATAAATACATTCCCTTAGCATGAAATTTCCTAAACCCTTGCAACACTGGTAAAACTAAGCAACAGAGTAAGATTCTGATCCAATTTTGGCGTAGAGAAACAGTAAAAAAAAAAAGTCTCTGCCTCTGCTAATCTTCCCCACCACAACTGATAATATAGTAAGTTCCTGGAAATGGGGAGTTCCTCACCTTCAGCAACAGTAAGTAGGTTCCCCAGTTCTGTTGAGGAATGGTACTGTATAGGCTCAGAATTCCGGACATTTGCCAGTGGCAAAAAAGGATCATAATCAGAAGATGAAAGGTCAGCCAGAGTCAATGTGTAGTGACTTTGTTGGGTATATGTGCTTGAGCCAGAAACACAACAGTGCAAAACCTATAAAAATATAATAGAAAGTGGGATTACAAATATAATAATAAAAAAAAACAGATTAAAAGGTCATCAGATAGGCAACCTACTTTACAACAATTAGAAAGCCCTAATTTTTATACTTGTGAAATTATCTTGTGACAATTACAGCAAGATCAAAGGAAAACAAAATTAAATGGCAAGTTATCCTTCTGTGGCACCAAAAACACATTCTTGAGCAAAAAGATTCCTAAGTCTTTGCCTACAAGATGGGAATAAGAGCAGAATGTGATTATTGAGAGGGAACAGCTATGTGGCACATGTGTAGTACAGAAAGAAATTATCCATGAGTTGGAAATGGAGTTCAGTATTATCAAAGTTAAACTAAAGGAGATAAAAAAAAAGACCATAAGCCTTTCTAGTTCAGTTACAGTCCAAGAAACAGAATGATATCCATTGTGAGCCAGTATATACATACTTGATAACACCAAGAAAAGTGGTAGAAACTAAAAAGATTCTAATCTAAAATAGAAAAAATGGATTAATCTTATCAACACATGATTAAATGCCCTGAACATCAAGTATTATTTAGAAAATAGGAATAATTAAAGATATTCTCTTTTTTTGTGCTTTTGTACATATATAATCAATGAAACACTACATACAAAAAATCATTTTGAATACTGGGTAAGAATGTATAGCTTTGATATTTCCTTTTTCAAATTCTAAAATAAGAAAAACAAGCAAAGTAATTTTTTTGCATAAAGTTTTAATAAAGATATATAACACTTTAAAAGATGCTAAAGAAACATTTTAAATTTAAATACAGTAATAAAGATATTCAAATCTAAAACAGTTCATTGTAAGCCTAATGGTGATGTGCTATCTATATTCTTTGGAGAGTTTGGACAAAGAATTCTGCAACTAACTAAAATCATAAGAACAGCAATGGGTAAAGTACAGCCAAGAAGGCAGTGTAATGCTGTTAAAGCAACACTTATTAGCATATGTAATTCATTTACTATCATTGAAAAGTAATTCTTATTAGTTAAAATGAAAGAAAATCTATTCAATAAAAATGAACTGGTATCAAGGCCAATTCTACACAAAAAAGTAATCAGTCATGTCATTAAAGCTATCCCTACAAGCAAAATATTATTTTAGAGAAATAACAATTGAGTGCTTAGATAGTAACTTGTACATAAGGATTTAATAAATACTTATTTACTTAAAGCAATGTAAAGTATTGCTTCATTTAGTTAATTTAGTTTGTATCAAAGATGTAAGTTTATGTGCATTATAACCACAGGAACAATAGGGGATTAATGAAATTCTAATTTAATTAATCTCTTTCTAATTTAACTTTCAAACATTTAAGTAAGAAATTATTTCAATATTTTTTATCCTGTCCTTAAAACACATCAACTAAAATGAGTATTTCAATAGCCAGTCAGTCAGTCAATAAACATTTATTATGTGCCTAGTATGTACTAGACATTTTACTAAGCACTGGGGATACAAAGAGAGGCAAAATATAATCCCTGACCTTAAGGAGCTCACAATCTAATGGAAGAGACAACATGTAAACAACTATGCACAAGTAAGCCATATACAGGATAAATCAGAAATAACTAATGCAGGGACATAACTACAATTAAGAGAGATTAGGTTCTAGAAGGTACAATTTTAGCTGGGACTTGAAGGAAGCTCAGATGCAAAGATAAGGAGAGAGAACATTTGAGGCATAGGAGATTTTATGTTATGTCCCTGAGAGCAATCAGAAGAACCAAAGAAAATCATCAACTTACCCTATAAATGTAATCTAGTAATGGGGCTCTAGATGAATGCTGATCTTCCAGAACAGTAGACACTTGATGCATTAGGGTTTTCATTGGCAATGCCATGCACCAATCCAATAAGCAGAGTAAAAGAGAAACAATAAACTGTAGGAAGAAACAGGCAATTATTTATGACACATTTCTTGTCATGCTTCACCATAAATAATGATGCATTTGTATCTGGCTGCAGAAAATCATTTACAGATATATTAGTATCACCTACCTTTTTATCTGTTTCTACTGAAGAGTACTCAGCACTTGGTAAAAGAAATGCAATTGTGGCCACAAGGATCTGCAAACCAGAGTGACAATTTAGAATTAAAGGTTAAAAGACATCTTCACAACAAAACCTAACTGCTTAAATTCCTGCCAAATTTACTTCCACTGAAAGAAAGTTATACAGGCAAGGAGGGAATTTAGGGAATGCGAACAGGGCATATGTAGAACATAAATCCATGCTCAGGTTCAGTGCTACTCCATTACTTTAAAGAAAGACAAGTAACAAAAGAAAATGTGTAGGATAACACACCAGAGGCAGTAATCCATTCTGCTAAGTGTACCTTTTTCTTAACTTCTTCCTCCAATGTTGTAACACTAATGAAAAAAAGTTTTAAATTACACAGTATCATGAAAATACTTTTTCTTTTATCTGCTATCTCTCTTGAAAAATTATCACCAGAACCTAATATTTTTTTTCTTTTTAATATTCAAAGCAACTCACTCTTTAAGCTGTAACTTCCTTTTGGCTTCCAACTCTAGACATGCCCAATAAACTCATAACTGAAACTTGTCTCAGATAAAAGAGTATATGTAATTTTCCTACAGTCCAGCCCTCAGTCCTTTTTTCTCTTCTTTTATCATGCATTCCCACACTGACAGAAAATCAGTACTAGATGTCTAGGATAGTATTTCCATACATATTGAATCTCCTTAGTACATTGCATCATGTATCAATTACCAGGAACCAGCAAATTCTGGAGTTGCTGTTAGCTACCAGGTACCTGATTTGGGCTAGAGGATATTTATGCAGATTAAGCACCCTTGAATGTAGCTAGTCACTAATGTACTGTGCATTTCTACCCACTAATTATTAATGTCACCATGGAGCTTAATATTTTTATCAGTGACTTGATTAAAGGCACATATTGAAGATGTATCAAGTTTGTAAACAAAAAACAGCTAGGAATGATAGCTAACACATTGAGTTACAGGATCTAAAAAGATGTTGGCAGGTATCTGGCCAAACTGAACAAAGTAAAATTTCACTGGGATAAATATAGTTTTTCAATGGGATTTTTGTAAAAATCAATGGCATAAGAACAAGATAGGGAGAAATATGTCTAGATAAAAGTTTGCCTGAAAAACATATGAATTGTTTATTGCACTACAAACTCAAACTGACTGAACAATGTGCTGAGAGGCAAGAGGGTTAATGCAATATTAAATTGTATTATACAGCTTCAAGGGATAAAGAGGTAATTATTCTGCTCTAACCTACCTTGGTCAGAGAGCATCTGGGCATCACATTTTAGGCAGGACATTATTAATTGGGGATTGTTCAGAGGAGGGAAGTCAAGAGTGAAGGACTTATGGGAACGTTTAATGAGTAAAGGAAAAGATCTGAGGGGACATGATAATTATTTGTTAAGTATTTTAAGATTTGTCACCTGGAACAGTGATTGGACTTGTTCTGCTAGATTGCAGAGGTCAGAACTAGATGCAATGGGCAAAGGTGTGAAAAGACACATTTAGGTAGATATAAAGAAAATCTTGCTAACAATTAGAGCTCTACAAAAGTGGAATGGGCTCTCTCAAGATCATTAGAAGTCACCAACAAAAGGCTGCATGACCACTTTTGTATGTTGTAGAAAAAATTCTTTGTCAATAATGGGTTGGACTAAATAGCTATTCTGGTCCTTGCCAATTTGAAAAATTCATATTTCTCAATTAATCCTATTATAACAAAGTAACCAAATTTATAGCAGGAAATTTTTTCCATGGAGTAATCAAGAAAAAAATGAAACTCTACATCCTTTGGACAAGAAGGCATCTTCTCAAGCACAGGCATCCAATCAGCTGCTTATTCTTTGCTGGCATTATCTAACTGCTTTCAGTGAGTGTAAGGATGTATTTAAAAAGATGTATTTATTTTAGTTACGTCTTTTAAACTTTACTAGCATAAGGACTGCCTTCCACCACTGACTACTTTATTACTAATTAGAATCAAATTGAGTTAGGACCTAATGAATTTTAATTATCTTATTACACACACACACACACACACACACACACATATGTATACACATATATATGCTTGTTGATTGGCTTATGCCATACAAAAGTGGAAAGGACTGCCCCAGGGGACACCAGGCTCCCTCTCTTGAAGTCTTACAGCAAAGTATGGATGACTACTATTGATGCATGTTGTAGAGGGAATTCTTTCTCTTCTATGGGTTGGACTAGCCCATCCAAGATGTCCCTTCCATCTGTGAAAATTATTTGATCCTTTTCTCCCCATTAGTTTGTACACCTTAAGTAATACAGTATATAATGTAAAAAATAAATGGTTATATTTTAACACTGCAAAAAGTAGACCTACTTCAGTAATTTTCCGTGGCAGAGAGTTATCATACTTCTGAAGCTTTTCCCAATAGGACACGAGCAACTGAAGGATATCACAAGCTACCTGAGACACTACCTTATTAGGAAACTATAAAAGAAAACAAATATTAAAATCAGTATTACACAATTGAACACACATACAAATGTAAATATACTAATGTTAGTGAAAATCTTTTTTACTGCTTAAGACATTTATTTATTTCCTGGCACAGAGGAAATAAGTTTGGTTTATTCTTTTCAAACACTTATATTAATTTGTTTGCCCAAAAAAATTTTGTTTGCCCATTTGGCTCTTTTTACTATGTATATATCTCTACCTCAAATGTTATAATTAGATTTATGTAGTATCACATCCCATACACAAAAATTTACATGGTTTCCTCTAATGACAGGATTCTTAACCTTTTCTATGTCATAGTCCCCTTGAATACTCTGGTGAAACCTATGGATCACTTCTCAGAATGTTTTTAAATGCATAAAATAAGATAAATAGGATTACAAAGGTAACCCTTTAGGTTGAAATTTAGTTAAATATAAAAAATGAAACAAGGTCATATACCCCAGGTTAAGAATTCTTGCTCTAATCACAAGCAAATATTAATCACGTATGAAAATTTAGATGCATAGTTAGTTCCCATATATACTAATATATTTATAGCAGCACTTTTTGTGATAGCAAAGAATTAGAAACAAAAAAGAAGCCCACTGATTGTAGATAGGCTAAATAAATCAGATACAGGAATGTAATAGAGTATAACTGAGCTGGAAGAAATGATGAATATCATGAAAACAGAGAAGCATGGAAAGACTCATTCTATGAACTGATATGGAGTCAAATAAGCAGAGCCAAGAAAAAACAACATATACAATGACAGCATCAATGTACAGGGAAAAAAACCAAAACAAAACAATCCAAAATGAATGTTGCAAAATTACAAAGAATAAGTGCGTCTCCAAAAAAGACATAAGAAAAGAAATTCCTAATTCACTTCTTTGTGGAAGTAAGAGGTCCACAGCTGTACTATATTTCACATTTTTTTTCTTAAATTTTTTTTTTTTACCTGACATGGCTCTTTTAGAGAGGGTAGGGGAAAATATATTGGAGAAAATTTTGGTAATGTCAAAAAAAAATCCAAAAACATTTTTCAAGGAAAATTAACTGTAAAACTCAAATGCCTTATCCAAAAACACATAGTTTAAAATTTAAGCTTAATGAAATAATATTACAAAGTCAAATTGACAGTAGAAAAATCATGAAATGTATTATTTTTATAATTCAAATCTGAATGCATACATTGATCCCTGATAAATTAGACAGCAAGTAATACCCACTAATCTCATTAGATTAAAAAAAAACAAAAAACAGAATTTCACAGCTAGAATACTCTGAGTGACATTATTTATACTGACTTGGGCTTAAGTATTTGGGCAAAAGTATAGCCAGAGTTTTCCAGAAGTGTATAAATCTATTACTAAAATAGAGAACCCTTCATCTCTCCTGAATTTCAGTCTCACATTTGAGAATGCCTTCTCAGTGTCTCCCATGTCCCATAGGAATCTCAAATTCAATATGTCCGAAATAGAAATCTTTATCTTTTCCCCTAAATTTACCACCTCTCCTTATGTACCTGTTTTTTGTTGTGAAACCATCCTTCCTGTCATCTAGGTTTGTAATCTAAGAATTATTGCCAACTCTTCATATTTGCTTACATCTCATATCTATTCTGTTGAAAAGTATTGCCAATTCCAACCCTTTAACATCTTGTTCCCATCGCCTGCCCTCTTCTAATATCACAGTACTTATCCATACCCATATTACTTATTTTTTTTATGTTTTCTTGTATTTTTTACTTTATTAAATATTTCCAAATTACATTTTAATCTGGTACCCAAGGCATAGGGAAGTATTGTGAGTCACATGCAGCCAGTGTTTGACACTGATGGCCTATAACTTGAGAGGTTAAGGGACTTGTAGAGGTACTAAAATACAAAGAAACATATAAACAATCTTAGCTTTCGATGAGTTTACATTCTACCGGGTAGATATAACATTGAATCAAATAAATAAATACAGTGTAGAACAGGGGATAAGTGGAACCTGGAGTCAACCTGGATGATATTACTTCTCATATGGACTACTGCAATACCTACTAATTGGTTTCTCTTCTGCATCCACTAATTTCCTTTTCTAACCCATACTCCATATAGCTGCGAAATTGATATTTCTAAAACTTCAGGTTATTCCAAAATCCTCTGTTTGGTATTCAAAGCCCTTCATAACCTGTACCCTCCCACCTGCTTCCATTCTTATTCCACTTAATACCCTACCAAGTACTGTTCAATCAATATATACTGGCTTCCTTACAGTTTCATACACAAAATACCCCATAATCTCCAGACTTTGAGCATTTTCACTAGCTTTCCCTTATTCTTGGAATTCTTTCCCTTTTTATGTCCATCTCCTGGCTTTCTTCAAGTTGCAGCTAAAATCTAGCCTTCTGCAGAAAGCTTTTCCTTATGCCCCTTAAATTTTCTGCCTTTCCTTTACTAATTACCTCTAATTTATACTGTATATATGTCATGTTTGTACATAGTTTTTTGAGCTCCTTAAGAGTAGAGATTATTTTGTGCCTTTCTTTGTACCCACAATACTTAGTATAGTGTCTGGTACTTAACTCTGCATCAGTTCACATAAATCTTCCTAAGTTTCACTGAAATTACCTCTTTAATCATTTCTTATGGCACAATAGTATTCTATAACATTCATAATTTGTTCAACCATTCTACAAGTGATTGGAACCTTGTAGTTCTGAATTCTTTGCTACTACAAAAAAGAGCTACTACAGATACTTTGGTACAAATGGTCTTTTCATCATTCTTTGACTTCCTTGTAATATAGGCCTAGTAGTGGTATTGCTGGGTTAAAGGGTATGTTATTTGAGTATAGCTTCAAATTGCTCTTATAATTATAATTGCTTTCATGGATAATCTTTCAATTGTACAAGAATGAGGAAACTATAAAGCATGACAATCTATTTTACCAATGCCTGAGTCTCAAAAGTGTTGGCTACTTTGTGAAGAAGAAAAAACCAAGATTTTTAAAATGTCACTGATTGTGACTACAGAATACATGCAGAGAATAAAATTATCTGTCAATAAAAATCAAATATCCAAGACTTTTAATGCACCTGCAAAAACATACAATATTGAAACATATTAGTAAAACATAATTTTTCTAAAAATCAAATCTGTTAAGCCAGTAATTCAATATTAATTAATAAAATAGTTTAAAGATACAAAATAGAATGAGATACATTCTTTATTAGGGAAAAGAATGTAAGTTCCATGAAACCAGATAGGGACTACTTGAATTTTATCTCTGTAGCCTCAAAAATTAGCATGGCACTTTACACATATAAGGGACTTACTGCTTCTTGAACAGAACAGAGACAAAATACTAATAAATTTTATTTAAGTGACAATAATTTTTAAAAGAATTGTAATTCTCATAATCCAACATACAACTTTTCAATAATCACGTTTGAAAAGATATAGAACTCTATTTTTGTGGGCTTACTCTTTTAAACTCTTCACAATCTGGCTTCCAGTCACCACTCCAGATTTATTTCCTACCTCTTCCACTTATGTGCTCCTAGTTCAGGTCAAGCTGGACTATAAGCTACTCCATGTACATATCATTCTAACTCCTACCTGTGGGCTGGATCCACTGTCCTCCCTCATCATCTCCTCAAAGACATCCTAGTGTCCTTTAGAGAGCAGTCCTGGTGCCACCTCCAATAAGCACAGTCTTTTCTGACTCTCCCAGGGTTAATGATTACCCTTTCATGAGGTTACTCTGTATTATTTTGTACATATTTTATGTTTACTTAATTGTTGTATATTTTACTCTCTCAAAAGAATGCGAACCAGGGCAGCTAGGTGGTGCAGTGGATAGAGCACCGGCCCTGAAGTCAGGAGGACCTGAGTTCAAATTTGGCCTCAGATAAAACACTTGATACTTACTAGCTGTGTTACCCTGGGGAAGTCACTTAACCCCAACTGCCTAAAAAAACCCCAAACCCCCCAAAACCAACAAACAAATGAGATTGCAAGCCCCTGAAGAGTATACCACAAATTTGTAGTAGGTATTTAATAAATGTTTATTGAATTGCAATATGATAGTTTCAAATTCATTGTCTCTTTAGCAGTAAGAGACTATTCAACTTAACTCCTCCCCTCCCCCACCAAAAAGGAAAAAAAGAAAAAGAAAATTCTTTTATGCTGACAAGCCTTCTTTAACAAATTTGAAGTGGCTTCTAGACTACATCAGAATTAAACATAAGATTCTCATTCTATGATTTTTTTTAGTTCCAATACTATAATAAACTGAGTAAGAATTTTGAAATTCCACAATATGTAAAGATGTGAGCATTTGACTAATCTCAGCAAAACAATCTCTAAATTATAATCTCTTTACTCATAAATGTTCTATACATAAAAATGTTTTCTGTCGTCTCTTTTCTTTACCTCTATTTCCCAAATGCTGATGTAGGAGCTAGGACTTCTCTGTATCTACACTATTGCTAATAAGAACTTTACCGGCTGAGGAAGTAATGGAAGAAAGAATCAGCAGGCAAATATTAGTGTGACTTTAGCTATCATATGTGCTAGGCATGTTTTGTAGACTGTAGGGAGAAGTATGAAAAAAATGAACAATAAACAATACATTGGGTACTTAGTAGGAAAAAAATCAGACCCAGTTCAAATTTCAAGTGCATCTTTAATATATAGAAAATACTTTAATCATATTAAAATCATGAATGGATACCTTTAAAGTTACGCCTATAACATTGATTGCCGCTTTTACTTTTGGATGATTTGTACACTGAATAAGCTCTTCACATATCCAAAGTCCGAGGCAGCATACAGAAATACATCTTTAAAAAAGAAAAATTCCTTATGAAACTTGCAAAATATTACTGGAACGTTTCAAACATATTTTCATAAAATAAAAAACAGAAATAAAGCAGTCTTTGTAGGCTGGTTTCCAAGCTGGATATAAAATCTGGCTCCCTACACCACATAAATATTTAGTGAAAACAAACAGCATATTCTCTGTTAATATCCATGACACACAATTAAAATATTTTAGCAGAAATGTGTGTTCAATATATTTTTGACATGTATGACAGAAAATTTAATTCAGATATAATTACTTTTAAAAGTCTCAAAAGCTTCTTTCTTGGAAGTTTTCCTTTAAGGTATAAAATCTTCACAAACATCTAAACATTATGTTCTCTTTAGACTCAAGTTTCAATGAAACTAAGATTCAAAGTACATTTCAGAAGGTTATTACTTAAAAAAAAAGACACAAAGATGTAGGAAAGCTTTTCCTTCAAGCAACACCATCCTTCAAAAATTACATGATTACCTACAAAAGCCATCTCAAATACTTTTATTTAAAATCTTGCCTTATTTTCTTAGTGACTAGAAAATTTTCATCTCAATTCTGGATCTACTATTCACCCTCACAAAGTAAATTCAAAGGTTTGTTCTAAGACCTGATGACTTTTAGATTTAAAAGTAATTTTAAACTATTATTTGAAAATCTATTAGTACATTTAGCCACTTTTTATTCATGGACATCATTTATCTGCTAGATTCCACATGTCATATTTGAAAATGATAGAGTATGTTCAGTTTTTGTATTGTTTGGGGTTCCTTTTCTTCAGGTTAAGCTGCTTATTAGACTTGATTGTCTTAATCAGCTATACCTTTATTTATATGAAGACATTCAAATTACCAACATAATAGAGAAATTCTTTTTAATACATACTCCAAATATAAATACAATATAAACTTAAAAGCCTAAAGTGATCCAAATAGCTTACAAAGCCAGAATAAATTCAGTCCCAACTACAATATTATAAAAAGTTTGTATTGTACTTGTAACCTTGAACTTTTTCTTCTATATGTTACCCAGTAAATCTTTTATCTACTTCACACCTTGTTTCATAAATCATTTTTATAGTACTTTTTTGTTAATTTTATTAACTATTGCTTTTAAATTCTACTTTCTGGAAACTATTCTTTAAATTAGTTTGTTTTCCATAATTTTCAATGTATTCTATAATTTTCACAAAAATTTCTTTAATTTACTTCAATTTCCACTCAACTTGTTCAATCCAATAGAATCACATCATTTAGAAACCTATTTAGCTTTTTTTGAAACTGCTGTCCTTTTGTAAGTTTCTTCAAGTATGCAAAAATATTATGAATTCCTTTCTTTTTTTAACTAACACACTTTTAAATTCTTCAACAGAGAATATTCATTTCAACATCAATACGAATATTGTTTTTTACTGTGGATGTCAACTGCATTAATCTGAGATAAATTAAGATTTAATACAGCCTCTAAAACTGTCCCTGAATTTTCAATGTGCAAATTTTAAAAATCTCTTTCTCTGAAACATAATAAAAGAAAGCCTCACATCACAGCATAACTCCTTTTCATGCCCACAACAAGTGTTATTTTCCTCTATTTCTCTCACTCGTCTTTCAAGAAGTTAACTACTAATATTATTCTGAACCCTAAACATATACTCCATTAGAACTTCATGGATTTATCTAATCATCTAAAACAGCATGTTATAGTAGATAAAGAGATACCCTGAAAGTCGGGATGATAGGCCTGTCTCTGATACTTATTGGATCAATGAACCTTGAGTGAAGTCACTTAAGATTTGAAATGTATAACTTTATGAAACTATATGCAAATTGCAGGACAGCTCCCAATCTGCATTAGTCTAGAAGTTTTCTGACCAAAAGTCCTCTATAGCAATTAAATAAGAGATCAAAGTTAAACCAAATTTCCATTATTTGACAAAAAGTTTTCCCTACTATTTTAGACTATTTAAATATTCATTTTAAATCTGATCCTCTTTGCTTCACAGTTTCTACAGAGATTTGAAAAGGAATATACATTGAATAAGGAGTATGAGGTTAAGTCTTTTGGCAACAAGTTAGTCTATCTCCCTAATTTCATCATTATTGCCAACCTTTGCATTTAATAGTCTACACAAGTCCCAAACCACAAATGTCGAGGAAAATTCTCCCATGGGGCATATTCAGTAATCATTTTATGAATTAATCTTTTTAAGCTATCATGTAAAGTAAGACTCATCTTCTACTGCTTTGTGGCCACATTTTGATCAGTTAGGACTTTTATTTATTTATTTACTTGGTTTGCATTTCTTATCTCTACAATTAAAGTTACATTTCCATCACTCTCATTATTATATCCTCTAAACAAAAAAGGTTGTCTAAGAAAGAAATGCTCTCATGTCATACTAATAAATGTTAGCCACAATGCTTAAGCTGATTATCCCAGTGTTGTGGTCTCTTCCAAATATATTCAAATGAAATCTTTAGAAATATTACTTTCTTTATCCTTTAGTAATGAATAAAGGAAAATAAAGTATTCCCTTATAGTTGATAGTCTTTTCATTAAGTTAAAGATTGAATACATTTAATCAACAAGATAATAAAGGAAATATTGATTTCTTATTTGGAAAGGAAAGGATTAAATCAATTAACTTTTTATAAATTGTTTTTAAAAATGACATCCAACAAGATAATAAAGATATAATTTTCAAAAGGGATATTAAATATTTTTAGACACAAAATTTTTAAATTTAACTTATTTCACTTATTATCAAATCAATGTTACAGGACAAATGTGTCATCTTAAAAAGAGTTACTTAAAATATTCTTGACTATATTTCAATGAACTGGTTTTAAGCGAACAAGTTATTTCACATGAAATTGTTTACATATTAACTTTCTAGCTTAAAAGTCTAAAATAGTTTACCTTCTATTCGACATTTACCTTGCACCTTCACATGGCTCATCTGTTGCATTCTTCAGTAAAATATTTATGAGGTAATGCTAAAAACACAAAAATAAGGAAAATAAAAGCTTTACATCAAAGAGTTTTTGTTTTGTTTTGTTTTTAATCATATACAACTATTTTCGAGGCAACCACTAGCTACTGGAACACTGGAAATTTTAGAAAGAATGCATGAAGGACTCAAGGTGGAAAAAATGGCCTAAATATATAAATTTAAGGGAGGCCTTACTAAATGGGAGAGTAACAAGGTATGCAGAGACATAAATGTGTGAGCAAATTGAGACTATATTAAAATTTAGATGAGAAATATTGATTTTCCCGCTAGATGAGTTGAATTAATATATCTTTAAGATTTTATTACATTTATATACCAAAGTTTTTGTAGTATTTGTTTAAAGAGAAAGGCATTTTTGAGAGCAAGAAAAAAGCTTCCTTTCCCTTCAGTGTCCAAAAAACAATTTGCTTTTTATATATTTAAATACATTTTCACTTTTGAAATTTTCTTCAAAAATGAAAAGGTGAATATTTATCCTCAGTTGATTATGTTATTGATTTATTTGATTGCTGATGCCAGAGGATACAATTAGATGTGCTCAAGAAAAAGTATAACAGCCATGATCAAAAGGACTAAAAAAAAAAACTACTTAGAAAAAAAAATCTTCAAGTTCAACTAGCAATCACAGCTTAAAACTGAACAAAAGGGCAGCCTTAAAAATGTAATGAAACATTTCAGTATTAAAACTATTATTTAGCTCATTTTAAAAATTCTCCCTTTTTTTCTGGGTCAATTTGTAATAATATAAAAACATAACATATCTAATTATGTTAATCAAAGGACATATTTTAGCAAATTTAGAAAAGGGTATTAATATTTTAATTTACTTTGATGTCTTCAGATCCAGTGATGACTCCATCAATTTCAGGAACTGACTGAAGTAATGGAATTTTTGGGTAAATGTTGGGAAAGCAAACAAGGGAACCCAGAATGGTGTGAGCTTCTGAACGTGGGGCCTGTAGAATAAAAACAAATAAATATAAAATAACTTATTACAACTCAGAAGCATCAGAAGCCTTGAAAAATTTAATAAAATAGATTTTGGTTCTTCATAGTTTTTTGTTTGGGCAGGTTTTAGTTCTGATTCGCAAACAATGACATGTTATAATCAATCAAATATTTATTAAGTGCCTACTATGTGCCAGACACTGTGCTGGGGATACAAAAAGAGGCAAAAGACTATCTTTGCCCTCACAGAGTTTACAATCTAGTGGAGAGGCAAAAGAAGTAAAAAAAATCATTCAAGTTATATTTGACTCAAAAAGGAGACATGTCAGTTTTAGTGGCAGAGACACTTGGAGCCTTCAAGCCTTGGAGTCATGAAGATCTAAGTTCAAGTCACACTTCTGAAACCTATTAGCTGTGTGACCCTGGAAAAGTCATTTAACCTCTCAGTAACATAAGCCATATTTGACACTTCTCATTTAGGTGTTTCTCTAAGATGATTAGGAGTAGAAAAGGTGCTAACTGAATTGATAAAGGGGATTTCTTCATTCAGGCCATTCCTATACCAATAAAATCTCAGATCAAGTCCCTACCCTTACTCTAAAGTATAACAGATGGAAAACCCATGTATTAAGCTGGTATCTATGAAATATTAAAAGCAAAACAAACAATAAAAAAGAGGCAACCTCCAGAATGGTTGGTTGGTTCACTTAGGGATTTATAGAGATACATGGATAAGAATTACACAGTATAAGAAGATTTAAGTGGTTTGCAATCTGCATTGGTGGAATGGATTCCCTTTAATAATGAGAGCATGGATCCACTGACGTACTGACTACTGATCACTACACCTCATTAATTAACCTTGATAAATTTCTGTGCTTGAAAATTTTTATTCTTTGGTAGTAAATATTCTTGTGAGGAGAAAATAAAAAACCTAAACCAATCATGCAACAGGCGTACAGACTATTACTGGGATCATACTCAAAAGCCATTATCACTTGGTAGGATCTGGCACACTTTGCATTTAATTGTCATAGTCTTTGAGAATCCAGAGTTGCCTCTGTGTGATGAAGTATCAGAGCAAGACTACACTCTTAATGGAAGAGTTTGATTGCAGTATTGTATTTTTTTAAAGAATTATATCTAGGGGCAGGTAGGTGGCTCAGTTGATAGAGCACCAGTCCTGGAATCAGGAGGATTTGAGTTCAAATCTGACCTCAGACACATGACACTCACTAGCTGTGTGACTCTGTGCAAATCACTTAACCCCAATTGCCTCACCAAGAAAAAAATTATATCTAGTTTGATATGTTCTGTATACTCAAACAAAATTCTCAGAGGACAAAAAAAAATGAATTCTTACAAAATAAAAAAAATTATTAAGTCTGGATATAATCAAATAAATTTGTGATTAGAAATTCATAAAGCCATAAATTGCAATTTATAGTACTGAAAGAAAATGTGAGGATGAACTACTTATATGTTAATACAAGGATAGGAAATATCTTCCTAGAACCTTAATATTTTCAAGATTCACAGAAAAAGAGAAAAAGTTAAAAAGATGGATGGTCCATGGATCATTTTATTCCATTTTTATGATCTAAGAAGGCAACAAAAATAAGATGAACATAGGAACCATATTGTGGGAGGCAGCAGGTTTTTTCTTCACCTTGGACAACATTTTATTTTGCATTTCATATATTACTCAGTTTTACATTCTCATAGGCTCAGTCATGATAAAAGAAACCTATTCCCCAAAGTCTGAATACAAGTGAAAAGTTGTAGGTAATAGGTAAAGACTTCAGGACCAAGCAGTAAAATGACCTATGTTCACAAAATAAAATGGAATTGCACAATTTGTTTCCTTCAAGAAAAAAAATATATAATATGAATGTATAAAATAGAGCCTATATCAGATTGCATACCATCTTGGTGGGGAGGAAGGAGGAAAGGGAGTGGAAGAAAATTTAAAACTCAAAAACTTTTGGAAGTGAATGTTGAAAACTAAAAATTAATTAATTATTTTAAAAAATAAGTAAAATGACTGGGAAGAAAGAGAAATTATTATTGTATAGCAAAAATGCATAAAATGAAGACCATGGCTATTGTCCATGCTTGACAAGAACCAAAATGACTACGTGGGGGTCACGGTACAGTTTGTCCAACTGTGGATGATCTGACCAACACAAACTCAAAAGGCTCTACCACAAGTCAGGGACAAAAAGTACATATGAACATTTGGAGTGGGCATGTCTCTAAATTTGCATATCTTGCATTTCTTTTCAGCTATATTCATCTCATCAAAATAATTTCTAATAATATATTTAATTTCTTTAATTCTTATAAGTTCTTTTTCATTTCTAATACAATTTGATTTTTAAAAGTCTCTTTAATTCAGGTTAACTGTCTAGCTATTTTATTCATTTTTCCCCAAAATAACTCCTAATTTTATTTATTAATTTAAGTCTCTAGTTTTAGATTTATTAGTCATTTCTTTAATTTTCAGAATTTCTACTTTACTATTTAGATAGTAGGATGAATAAAGGAAAGGAGGAGAAATTTAGGACCATGTCATTAATGAATATCAATTCAAAAATTTTAAACAGACTAAAGCAATTCACTGAAGGAATAATTCATTATGACCTAGTTAGATTTATAACAAGTATACAAGAATGCTCCAAAATTAGGAAAATAATTAACACAATTAACCATATTAAAAACAAAAAACATTCCAAACTACATGATTATCTCAGCAGATACAGAAAAAGCCTTTGACAAAGTACAAAACTCATTTATGTTAAAAATTCTACAAGTTATAAGCACAGAGGGGCCTTTTTTAATATAGTAAAAAGTATAAAATAAATAATAAATGAAAAAGTATAAAATAAAAATATATCTAAAACCAAAAGCAAATATCAATGTAATGGAGATTGACTATGAGCTTTCCCAGCAAATATAGGAGTAAAGAAAGGATGTCTACTCTCCTTGCTATTACTTGATATAACTCTGGAAATGTTAGCAATAGCAATAAGATAAGAGAAAAAAAAATTATAGGCATAAAGATGGGTAAAAGGATAAAACTATGTCTATTTGATGATGATATAAGTTAACTCAGAAAATGCTAGGGAATCAATAAAGATGCTAATTAAGCCAGTTAGTACCTTCAACAAAGCAGAAGGTTAGAAAATAAACCCTCAAAATCAACAGCAATTGTAGGTAATGAAACAAAATCCAAGAGTCAGTGGAAGAAAGCAAAATGTGATTCCAAAAAACAAAATTATCAACAATCATACAAAATACTTGTTTAAAATCAAAAGTGCTCTATAAGAAATTTAAAAACAAACAAACCAATGCCCCCAAAAAACATAGATGGAGGAATAACCAGTTATCACGGCCAGGTTGAAGTAGCGTACTACAATAAAACTGACAACACTATAATAACAATTCATTAGGAAAAACAAAATATCTAGAATGACATAAAGGGAAATAATAAAATGAGGTAGGGATAAAGCGGGAAACAGGCCTTCTATACCTCATATTATCTAGCTGCAGATATCTAAACCATTTGGTATTAGTGAAAAACAGAAGTAGATCAGTGAAACAGATTAAGAAAAAGAAGAATCAGAAATAAGGGAATTCAATAACCCAGCATACAATTAAGTGGAAAACAAATGATCTAAGAAAGAAATCTCTATGTGCTAAAAACTAGTAGGTAAACTAGAAAGCAATCTGGCAGAATAGTTATCAGATCATCATCTTATGCCATACTCCACTATATATTCTAAATATATACATGAAGTTAATATTAAAAATCAAATCATTCAAAATTATAAGAGAAGCAGATCATATACCTTTCACAACTGTGAGATTTATTCTTAACAAAATATATACAGAAGAACTATGACTAAAAAAAAAGTTTGAAGTGGAAGAAATATTTGTATCAAATTTCTCTGATGGAGATTAGTATCCAAGAGATATGAACAACACATATCTGTGTACACACACACACACACACACACACACACAGAGACATGTACAGAACAAAAGTGATTCCTCAACAGAAAAGTAGTCAAAGGATATAAAGAAAGTATTCTCAAAAGAAAAACTGAAAACTTAACCATCAAATGAAAGAATGCTCTGAATTACTAATAAGAGAAATGCAAATCAAAATAAATTTGAACTTTCATTTCCCACACTGCAAATTGGCAATGATGACAAAAGATGTCAACAGTCAATACTAGAAAGGTTGAGTGAAGACAGGCACCCTAGTCCATTGTTTGTGGAGCCATAAATCAGTGCATTATTTTGGAAAGCAATTTGGAATTATGCAAATAAAGTGTATAAATGTTTGATCCAGAGGTTGTACAATTAAGCATATACCCAAAAGACATCATTGATAAAAAGATAGTCCTCACAGACACCAAAATATTTATGTTAACACTTTTTGTGACAGCAAAGAATTGGAAACAAAGCAGATGCCCATCAGTTGGGAAATACCTAGACAAATTTTGGTACATAAATGTAATGGAATATTACTGTGCTATTAGAAAGGCAAATATGATGAAAACAGAGAAGCATGTAAAGATATACATGAATTGTAGCTGAATGAAGTAAGAAGAGCCAAGAAAACAGTAAACGTGATGAATGCAACAATGTAAACAGAAAGATCATAAAACAACCAAAAGTGAATCTTGTAAAATCACAAAGAAAAAACATAGCTCCAAAGAACGGTGCTTTGCTTAAGCTTGGGGGTCCACTGCTGTGATACATTGTTTACATTTTAAGATTTTTTTTTTAATGTATTGATCAGCTTGGCTGATTAACCTCTACCTTCAGGTATTTTTAAAAAATACTATTTCATATATGACTCTCTGGGAGAAAGACTGACAGAGGACTGGGAGATATTTTGGTGATGTAAAAAAAAGAATATCAGTCAAATTTAATTCTTTTTTTTAGGCAATTGGGGGTAAGTGACTTGCCCAGGGGCACACAGCTAGTAAGTGTCAAG